TTAGAGATCGTTCATATTTAAATTAATTAATTATGCTTATATTAGAATAAAAAAAAGTGGACGTTTGATGTCAAGGAAATAACATAAAGAAAGGAAAAAATTAAGAAAAAGAATTCAGCTGCTAATTAATTCAGCTTAGATCTTCTAATGTTGAGATTAAAATAGATTAACTGATAGATGGCGAGTGAAGGAAACTCCAAAATTATTCTAAAAATATCGGCCAATGAGAGGAACTTTTCGGTCAATACTAAGATAGCAGATCAAGTCGTGTATAATAAGAAAAAAAAATTAACTTTCATTGTCCTCTCACCCATCATTGATTATTTCTCTACAACATTACTACACTACAGTTCAATAAATTTAAAGTTCAACGTATAAATATGGACAGCGGGTTTGTCTACGTTTCTCATAATTGGTGGGTCTAGATATTACATTGGGACGAGTGAAACAAATTATTTGTATGTACAAAATAAAAAAAAATACCATTCACTGACTGACTCGTTCGTTGGTCACGTGATCTCAAGAACAACTAGCCTTACAAAGTTAAAATTTTGGGAGGTGACTCCTCTTTATACTCAAGGGTTTGCACTGAAAAAATTGTTTGTTATTGTGTTGTAGTTTTTTTTAAAAATCTTTTTAGTAACATAAAATTAACAAATGCCGAGACATGGTTTTTGTTAAGTGATATTTTTCGTGAGTGAGTCAGGAACAACTTTTGATGTCTTGAAATGTTTGGTTTGTTCCACTGAGCGAGTTTTGGTGGCGAGGTTATAACTGAGAAACATTGTGTCTATATTCTTGTTAATTGCGTTTTTTGAAGTCTTGGTAGCAGAAAACTTAGTAGTTTAAATTAATGTCTAACCAAACATTTCAGCAGTTCAGCTTCTCTCACCGCCCGTTTCATGATATGAGCTTAGTCAATGTGAATAATATATTTAAAATATACTAACCTTTTTCATTCATATGTTTTCATTATACTTTTCATCCTCTCAAATGCCGTTTACGAAGCTAGGGTTTTCAGCTTGTTACATATATTAGATGACAAATCAACATTTTTTTTTAAATGCATAAATTTAACAAATTAGTTCTGTTTTAGCGAGTGATCGATTAAACATTTATAATTTTCGTTTAAGTCTAAAACTGAAAGGCGGTACTGTAAGTTTGTTTTGATTGTATTCCTTAATACTGATTTCTAAGAAAAGTCCTACAGTTATTTTTTTATAACTGATTAGCGAATCTCATGGCATTTTGTATGTCTTCACGTCGATAAGGAATCAATCACTTTATTGACGTCCAGCTCCAAAAGACATTATGCAGGAAAAGTTTATGACGTATACATCATATACATATGTATGGCTTGTACTCCTAACCGTCCGCGTTTTAATCCGAGTAGCTATTGACACTTTCTTCTGTATTATTTTCTGGCGTCTTTTTAAAATCCTTTATATTAACTTCGCTTCTGTGTGTTTCTTTGGGACGCCAAAATCTTCGGAAGGCTAATTCGCCCACATCCCATCATCCTATCGACCAGAAAATTAGAGCATATAGACTCGTTTTCAATGACTAAACAATATTTCTAATTTTCAGCCCCCAACCCCCAAAAATCTGTTCACCTGTTTACCATTGGCTTGGGGAAAAGGGGGGGGGGGGTGTTAATGATTTCTTCAATTGTTGCGTGTTTTGGTGTGGAGATTAATTGTGTAGCTGTTGCTATGTGCTTTGTATTTGTGGCGTATTTTGGTTTAAATAAAATAATACATCTTTAGTCTATTAAGTCTTACATGCACTAAGTTAGATAAAAACCATTCCCATACCAAAAATCAGATGCTAAAATTACATAAATGCAAACAAAAATGCACATTTAGGCGTAGCTAGGGGGGCGGTGGGAGGAGGGGACAGATGTCACTGGACGCCAGACTACTTAGGGGCGCCAAAACGTGCTTTGATTTTATTTTATTGATGAAAATAGTGGGTTTGAGAGTTGAAAAAAGAAAAAGGGGCGCTTTGAAATGAGTCTTGTCCCCGGGTGCCAAACACTCAAGTTACGCCTCTGATGCACCTAAAGGAAAGTATTCGAAACATTTGGTTTTTATGTGGTACTAAATTTTAGAATACAATAATTCAGACTAAAATTATTGGAGAGATCATTGCCTCCGTTATTGCCTAGTGTTATGTAGCACAATTTCCTGTGCGTAAACTTTCCTCGACCTCGCAGTACACTCCTAGCAGACAGTAACGTCTGTTGTGGGCATGGTTAAATCTCTTTGATGTATCTTGTTTACAATCGGCTTCCAATTACACATTGGGTAGAATGTCTCCGGGTATCTTCTCGAATGTGCCCCTTAACCCGAGATATGTAAACAACACGTCATAAGTCCTTCTGGAAGCGTCTCACTCTACATGTATATAAAGGATTGACAGATACGAAGGGACGGAGATTTCAGATAGATTTTCTTAACATTACGAGGCGTGTTTTATGTGTTTATTTCGCATTATTTATTGGCACATTATTCTAACTGTATTAACTGTGTACCGGTACAAGATCTACCATACTGTAAGTTGAAAATTGTCATTATATTTTCTTTACTTTTGTAATTATCTTAAGACATAATAAATCTTATTAATTGTAACTAGAAACTGTTTTGGGTCGTATCTTTAATATTGTTGATTCTATGGTATCGTCCTTTGTTAGGCACTGTTTACAACGAGCCAATTAAAATTAAAATAGGAGATTAATTTCGTAACACCTAGTCTTAGCAGACCTTTGCATGAGACTTGGAGACAGCTCTAACAACGTTTTTACACTGTTTATGGTTCTCTGGCCCATGTAGGAATGCCGAAAAGTTGGTCTGTATTCGCACATGGTGCATATTTTGTTGTAGTGATAATGTGGCCAGGTAACCCGTTCTCCAGCCTGCACCGTTCGCCTGTTATGACGTGGTCCATGATAAAAGCTCTAAAGCAGATTGTTCTAATGCTCTGCCGGGATTTTAAAAAATAATCATAAAAAGTATGTGACGGCTTTACGTGAAGGCTCAGCATTTTATCATTTTTATCGTCCGCGTTCATTTCCTGCCTTTTTACATTCAGGCCTGGGAAGGGAGGCAATGCTGTGTAACTCCTGTGTGCCAGTAGATACTCTCCCTTACATGCTAAGATCCTTGTTTATGGGAAGCCGAAAAGTAAATTAGCCGATTATACCATTGTCCTGGGATTTAAGGATGGTTCGATGATGTATAATTAGTTACGACCAGAGTCGTCGACCCCCTGCAGGGAGGCATCCACAAGTTACGCGACTGCTCTGGTTACCACAAATATATAATGATTGTCAAATGTCATTATGCATGTTTTACTTTCACGACAATGATACACACGGGATGACTGCAAATAGTTAAATGACGCAGGCTTGGCTGCAGAAATGCAATGCGGTTGGCGCTACATTTGATGGTAGGTAAAACAACATCCGGTTGTTCATTACTAACTGGGCAGGTGTAATTGCCGTGCTAGGGCGCACCAACTCAGGACTAAATGTCGTTACTAACTGGACAGGTTTGATGTGTTTCATTGCCGTGCTAGGGCGCACCATCTCATGACTAAATTACGCTGCCTTGCATATCAAATGTGAGTAGATAGTTTTTGTTTCTTATTTATTTGCTTGATGTAACATCATACTGTTGCGTGTGAAACATGGCCCCACGCTTCCAAATGCATACCAAGCGCGCTCAAGCCTCTGCCCTATTCAGGTCCCAGCCTGCAGATATCCATATCCTACTTAGCTTAGCTTGGTTCAGTGTTTCGTACACCTCACACCCATGATACAGTACAGAGTGGTGTGTTGAGAGAGCCCCAGACGAGTGTCTCGGGATATCCATCGTCAGAACAATTTATTACAGATTACATGCACACGCCTGTCCCTGGGATATTCTTATCCTCTCTGTTCTAGATTCACCTGGAAATTGCCAACAGAACTAAAAAAAACAAGTTACCCCGAGGTGACATTTTTAGCTAGTATTTATCTCTTCCTTCTGCTGGTAAAGAAATCTGGTAAAAATCAGCTGATGTGTGGGTAATTTTTCTCTATTTTCACTCGCTTACTGCTCCCGTAACATTGTTGCATGACAAGTTTTCCCACGAATGCCAGAAACAGGATTCACGTCTTTTTACGCCTTTTTCTCTTTATATTATATTTTTTTATTTTGTTCTAGCGGTGTTCAACCTGCGTTTTGCGACACTCTAGTGTGTCGCCAAAGTTCACAGCTGTGTTACAATATTTGAAATAAATGTATACAAATTAATTTAAAAAATGTACGTGCAGGCCAGGGGCCAGGGGGTCGGCGAACCGTGTTTAATTAACAAACAAACAAAATGGGCTAAAAATGAAAATCTTAAGGGTAATGAGGATCAAAAGACAGACATAAAATTGTATTATTATTTTTACAAAATACCGGTATTTGTTTCTTGGAACACTGCATCTGGCCGGTGTAATAGAGAAATGTATCCAACATGTAGTAACTAGTATACATCTCGCATAAGTTAACGTCTCGTCATTTTGACCTGGCCACCTATTTTAGCTTATGCTCAGTGGCGTCACTAGAGTTTATTTCACAGTATGGTAAACTCACGGTGCCATCCCATCCAGACCCCCCCCCCCCATGGATATCCTCCGAGATTGCCTGCCCTAGTGATGCTTTGCTCTGATGTAGCCTGCTCTGGTAGTACCCTATATTTTAGCGTATGCTCAGTGGGCTCACTAGATTTTATTTCACAGTATGGTAAACTCACGGTGCCATCCCATCCCGACCCCCCCCCCCCATGGATATCCTCCGAGATTGCCTGCCCTAGTGATGCTTTGCTCTGATGTAGCCTGCTCTGGTAGTACCCTATTGTGGTGTCCCCCTCACCTTATGGCACCTAGCACGGGTGACAGCCTGCTCCTGTATTTAACTTGGATCTGTTGTGTAACCTACTTGATCGAGCTCTGTCAAATTTACTACTTTCAGTTGGGTTGCAACCTCCCCTGTTGGGGCGTCACCAGATGAACTACGATTCCCCACGCCCCTACGCTACTAGGGTTTTTCTCCCGGGATCCTGCAGGACATCCCGGCATTTTCCCATCCGGGAAATCCCAGGTACACACTTTTAGAATTCAATTTTCTTGTCTGTTTAATTTTTTTTTTACATTTTCATCAAGCGACAGAAAATGACAAATTGTCGCTAAGAGCATATACCTGTGAAATCTAGTTAACTGCGCTAAATAACTAAGCTCAGTTGCTCTAATACACAGGTTCTCAAGAATGTTCAAGTTACGACCACATTCATATATAAGATAATTTTGCTACCTATTTAATGCCATGATTGAGATTGTAACCCAAAATGTGAGACACCAATTAAAAAATAAAACTTCTGAAAAAAAATCACTATTTCTCAGGCTGTTGTTTCGCCCGGCGACCCCACATAAATGTCACCCCCCCCCCCCTAAAAAAAGGCTTGTAACCTATGCTCTAGTAACTTAAAATCCCAAGATGTTAATGTGTCAAACTACCTTTATATTATGTAGTGTTTTTTGCAAAATCAGTACCGGTATAGTAAGACATAAAAATATATTACCGTATTAATGTATAAAAATTCAATTTTTTTTTTTTTTTTAATTCGAACCGAAACCCTTGCTTCAAGTTGAAACATTTGCTTGTAAGTATTTCTTGGTGGATTCTAAACTAGAATGAGCAACCTGTAAAGAATGCAGAGCTCACAAAGTGTTCAGGTTGTTTGGGTTTTGTCTACAGGCGGTTATAGTAGTATATTTGTAGGACACTGCTCGTCACCATCACAAGCATTGTGTCTTATTTAACTTAGTGGTGCATCGTTAAAGTTTAATGTTTAGTTTATGGTGACATTGTGTGAAGAGGTCGAAAACCACTTTCTAGCAAACCACTTTTCTAGAAAAAAAAAAAAAAACACTGTTCTAGCTTAATCTCTTTTATGATTTTCATTTACATGGAGTCACTCTGTGCATTATACTTCTAGGCCAGGGGTCGGGAACCTATGGCTCGCGAGCCAGATGTGGCTCTCTTGATGGCTGCATCTGACTCGCAGACAAATATTCGATTATAAAAAAAAAAAAATTAATGGTAAGAAATACTGATTATTGGTAAGCAACAGCATAACAATGTTATTAAAAAGAATTTGGAGACCAAATTATTTCATTTTTAGTGTTAAATTACACAAAATGCACACATTTTACTTGAATTTTTAGTTTTAAACATAATGTATGACTCTCATAAATTTACTTTTCAAAACATGTGTTGTCCATGGCTCTCTCAGACAAAAAGGTTCCCGACCCCCTTTCTAGGCCTACCTGTATGTTAGCGTTCATTAATTATGTATGACCATTTTACAGACTCGAGTGATAAATAAAAAAACGAATATTTTGTGGAAAGCAACTGTTCAAATTCACAGTAACACGTCGTCTTTTGATGTAATTCAACTCATTTTGTGATATTCCACAAATTTAATCAGGCCTACCATAAGCAGGTTGGAGCAGAGTCAAGGCTTTCAAAATACATAATTTAAGTTGTGCAAAGAAATGTTAATTAAAGGGAGGCCACTGCTCAAATCAAAATCTGTCCATGGAAGTAATATTTATTTTTATTTTTAATACTTTCGGTTATCCGTTGAATAGTTGAAATAACTCAAGAGCTGGAAATCAAAAGATTTTTTGTGTTATTTCTCTGACATCTAGATCCTAGATAACAAACTATAAAAGTTATCCATTATGGAACATAAGAAATCGCAAACTACTATAATTTCGGTTCATTTATTTTGTTAGTCTTTGCAGGCATAGCCTCACAAATTATCTAGAGCAATATGGGGTTCTGGTCTGGCGAGTAAAATAATTAAATTAATTCTCAGACGTTTTTGATGAATAACTCGTACGCGTGAATAGCTAATGCCGATTAGGTCGACAAAACATTAATAAAAGATGGACTTAATTAATTCAAGGGATGTTGAAATAGACTAGCCGCTAGCCAATTGGTTTCCGACCGGTGCTACAGCGAAGCCTTCGTGTACGGTGTAGGGTACTTCTTAGTAGGCCTTCTTCTTTGGGGCTCGGCGGCCGCTCAAGAAAATAAACTGAATAGAAATATAAAAATTAAATGAAAATAAAGACTAAGAAACAAAGAACAGAATCAAAATAAGAACTGGAAATTACCGAAATGTGCCAAGTTGAATTTTTTTCTGAGTTTTTTCTTGGAACTGAACGTACAAGGTATATATATATATATTTTTTTTTTTTTGTAAGCCCCTTTTGAGTCCTTGCAGTTTTTTAGTTTTGTTCCCCAGCATTCAAATTATTTAAATTAGGAATAATTTATTTTCTATTTAAAACAACAACAAAATTTCACTATTACTGCACTACCTAAATATAATAATAATAATATATGTATATAAGGTATTTTAAAAAAACAAATTTGATTAAAATTTTGCCTTCTAATTCTTAATGTAAATCTTTATTTCATGAAGTTTACATTTTTAATATAATTTCTGTTTCGGCTTTTTAATTAACCGTCGGAAATATTTAATTTACCAACAAAAGATTTCATTTTTAATATCGTTCACACATTCCATCTTTATTAAAATACATTTTATATGATCTGATATATTATATCTGAGAATTTCTTTTTAATAACTTAGATAGAGAAATATAAAATAAAATGCATGGTAAGTTGATCTTAAAGTTGAGTTGCTCAATGACTCTATAATTTAATGAGATAACCGATGGTTTAACTTTAAAGTTAATTATTAATAGTTAACTGAGCAGCTGCTACTTTTAACTACTTACTTACTAGGGGTAGTTATCTGCTGACTGCTGTTTATTGTATTATCTACTGATGACAGCATGTACTAGTGCAGAAATTTGACACTAATTATAACTAAGAATACTATTCTTTTTACCTATACCACTGACTGCGGAATGACTATATAATTATTTACCAAATTTAGATATAAAAATCAAACTTGTGAAAATTTGTTCATTGGAAGATCTCAAATAAAGATGATTATTGTAGCTCAATGATCATTATCATTATTTAGATGAGAAGAAGGATATCCAATAGGTTTAGTATCAAGCTGTATCATCCATATATGGTGTTCCCTTTGGCTATCCAGGTTCACTGAGAGAGGCAAGTTGCTGTCTAGGGAACCAGCTTATAGTATAGTAGACTTATGTAAGTTTGTGCAGAAAAATTCCCAACTTGTGATTTCATCCTGCAAAGTCACACCATCGTCACATTGTGATGCCAGTAATATTATATGAAAAGTTAGATATTTTATTGTTTTTAATTGCTCACTTGTTCTCATTAATACAGGTAATGACAGTTTGTATACTCGAATGGCAACTCAGCCTCTTTACAAAGAAAATCAAATAGATCCTGAGCTTGAGCATAAGGCAAAGAAAGGTAATTATAATTTTACTTTGTATATAAGCATTCATTTTTTATCATTAAATTGTAATTGAATCTGTTATGTAATAACCTAGTAAAAAATTCCCAAAATTTAAATCTCATAAAAAACAGCCATAAACCTTATAATTATATACATTTTGTTTATATGTAGTTTTGAATTGTATTATTAGCCTAAAATGTCATACATTTACAATTTGTATCTCATTTAGTTGCAGACAAACTCTCAGAGACAATAAATGTTATTGCCAATGAGCCATCTCTGGCATTTTTTCGAATACAAGAGCATGTTCGAAAAACATTGCCTCAGCTTGTTGATCAGAAGGTTTGTTATGTTGTTTTAGCTCATAAATAATTATTTCAATTTACTCTACTCCTTAACTTTGGGCTGTATATATATGGCGAAATTCATGTTACATTTAACCACAAATTCTAATGCTCAAATATTTTATTAAACATATAATTCACTTTAAATTTGAAAACGATGGTCTGCAAATGACAACATATCTCTCTGTTGAGGTATGCTTCAGAAGAATAAATAGGAAACACAATAAAATAATTAAGGCCACTACATAATTTTTTTGTATTGTTTCTATTTTTGTTACTGAAACTGGATGAAACATTAGAATAGTGAAAGAATGAAAGAATTAATAAAATGTAACTTGGCACTTCCAAATCTATAATTCCATTACTCAGTTTACTGCTTCTAAAATATATTTTATTACTGTATCTTTCCCCGTCAACTTTTTTGACTGCAAGTTGCTGTCAGTTTATGAATATTATTGCAATTCCACATTGTGTATGATATCAAACCAAGTGACTTATAAAAATCTGAACAATCTTACAGCTAATTTTTTTTCATATTGCTGCACCTTTGTGGTTATTGATAAACAAGAACTTCTCTCCATTTTACTCTCCCATTACAATAGCCTTTGACTCTCTAATCTAGTTTGCAGCTCAATTAGTTGTTACATGTTCATAAGCATTACATATCTTTTAATATGGACTTTTCACAGCATGAAGTAGAGGACATTCAAGCAAGAGTTCAAGGTGCTTGCTTTGATGCTGAGTATGCTACCAAGTCAGTAGAAGATGTCAATTTTATATGAAAATATTGAAATAAGTTGGGGATTTTTAATACAAAAGAATGTTTTTGAAAGAGAGTTAATCATCTGTGTTATTATTAGAGGCATGGTATCAAATCTAGCATACTGATGGGACAATTATTATTTTACATATTTAAGTAACAATTTTGGATATTGTAATAGCCATTATTTTTAAAGGATTTATATAGTTATAACAGAGAATGATATCTAGAAATGGTCAAGTTATGATCTTTAGACTACACAGCAGCCTGTTCTAAACATAAGATAAGAAATACAGAAGAAAGTCAATGAAGCAATAAAATTTACAGTGGAGCACTGACAGTCGGCCCACATGCTTAATAAGATGTTTTTGGTGTCATTTTGGATTCACACAACCAGCATCACTGTTACCATATAAAGCTCTGTGCTGTCTCCTACCACTTTTGGACTATACAGTCAGAAGTTTGTGTGAAATGCAGAAGATGAAATATAATATTTTTTAAACACTTTCATAGAACGGCAAATATGAACACTTTAATAACCATTATTTCACTGCAACCTAAACATTTTTTTATGATCCAACAAATAGTTTAAAAAATGTTTAACAGCACTAATGCTTAATGGGTTTATTGGCTAATTTCTTTTTTATTATCCATAAGAAGAATTTTCTCTTAATTTTTTTTTCTACAGTGCTGTTAGATCTATGCAGTCCAGTGCAATACATTTTCAAAACATTCAGGACCTTCTGAAGAATGCTATGTTTATGAAACAACAGATAACTTATGCAGATAAAAGGTATTTTTTTACCACTGGCTTTGGTGTGAGTTGAAAGTAATTTTATCAATCCATAAATTACTTTGTTTACTTCACTAAAAAATGTGTAAATAAGCAAGGAAAAACAAGAAAGCACTTCTACAACAGTTAATGGTACCTGGTCTTTTTAACATACTGTTTGTTTTTTTAATTAATGCCAAAGCATAGGCACCAATGTTTATCAAGGCTGCATAATTTTATTTAAAGACTAAGAGGATAAAAAAAATGTTAACTGATTTTTGACATTGTTTAAAATATGTACATATTTAGAGTCTGTGAAAACTAAAAATTTTGTCTGAGGTAAAAATCTTGCTCCATGAGTCTGTTGAGCAGATGCTTAGAGTGTTAAATTAATAATCAATAAACAAAAGAAATAATACTAACTGGACTTTATGGAAGGTTTTAAAATTAATTATTATAACTAAGGAAATTAACTAATTTAAAGCATTTTACTAGACAGGTGAGTCAAAAACAATTTGTGTAAATAAAACAAAAAATGTAAGCTTTAATTATCATCAAACAAAATACACATTCAAATGTTTGGGCATTACTTTCATCAGTACATTAAAAAAAAATAAAATATTAATATAATTAGACATTAAATTTACATAGTATATGTACATTCTAGCTATACATAGAAAAGAATAAGAATAGGCACTTCACTAGGGAAAACAAAGAGAAGAATGAAAAGAAACTATTATTTGGAATTCTAAATCCCTAAGGAAACAAGGCAAGTCTAGTCCCACTGCATCGCCAACTTCAGATGTAGAGAGAGGAATAACACAAAGTACGACTTCAAATAGTAAGAGTACAGATAGCCTTTTGGATAAAGCTGGAAACAACCAAAATGAGTAAGTTTGTTCATTTAAACATATTCAATTTCTTTTAGGTGATGTTTTGGGTATTTTTTACTTTTTAGATTAACTCAACTTTTTACCGGTTTATTATAAAAACAGAGCTCCCTAAAATTTACAATTATCTTTTTTTTAATAAATATGCATGTCTTATCATTATGTTGCTAACAGCCATCAGACTAAATAAGCATGTAATTGTTAAGTCTTGATAAACAGCTCAATTGAATTTCTGGATGAAAGTTTAATGATAAGCCAAATATAATCCAGTAAGCCTCCTTAAAGAGGCTTACAAGGCACAATATTATTTGGAGATCTAAATCTCATTTAAAACACCAGATTGTTATACATATTTTTTAGAATGTTCTTTTGTTGCGAATCTTTTTCTCCCAGGGTACATGGTCATTGCTTACCTAATGAAAGTTAAGGTCTCCTTATGGATATAAAGTGTAACTTATAAATGTTTACCAATCAAATTGTGTCGTTTTCACAAACACTTTTGAAAATTACCATGCACTCGTCATACCTGTTTAAATATCCCTCAAATCAATTTTTAAAAACCTTCAAATACCTTTTATTAAATTGTATAAACATTCTGAAGTATTAACAGAAATTTGCAAAGTTGTTTCATTATCTTTTTCTTTTACGCTATCTACATTTTTTTTTTTAACACATCACCGAGAGTTTTTTAAAATGAAGAGCAAATGTTGGCATGTTCCTCATATTTCAGTAGTTTCTTAGCAGCTGTCTGCCCTTGCAGTCCTAAAAAGGCCAAGAGGGTACAGCATTTGTATTGTAAATATTTTATTGTGACAGTTGTATTGGTGATATCAAACAATTGCAGCAAAGCACACATGTTAAATGTAATGTGCCATGCTTATATAGTTACAAATGTGTTGCTGTTCTTAAAATTGGAATACAAATTTGTTGCTGTTCTTAAAATTGGAATCTTGTGTTTATGGTTTGTTAGTATTGTTAGATTTGTTTTTATTTACAAGCTTAAAAATAATTGACCGGCATAGAAATTAAAAAGAAAACTAGAGTTAAATGTTGCAATGTCTCTAAGCCTCACATGTTTTTCCTGCCTACCATACCATTTTTTATTTTACTTTTTTTAACAACTTAAAACTCTCCTTTTGAACCATTTTGAAAAATTTTTCTTAGTTGTGTACATCACTAAGTATTTACTGTTTTGCTACATTAGAATTGCTGAATTAATCAGAAAAAAATATACACTATCTTTCATTGTCACCAGCCTATACAGATTCATAATATCCTGACTAAATAAAATGTCGCTCCAATATATCTTATGATAACTAGAGGACATGAAAAGTAAATATCTTCTTTTTTTTTTTACACAATTTGTTATATATACCCATATATATTTTTCTGAAATCATTGACTTCAGCATATTCCATAAAAATTCACCTTGGAAGATTTAAATATCAAGGTGACAGAAATTTTAAATATCATTTTCGAAAATGCAACTTGAATCGTAAAACTGGTACCAAAAATAAATAAAAAAAATATTTTAAAGAAACTGTAGCATCATTTAAACCAGAAATGAAATTGATAAAAGTAAAAAGTCTTATTGCAGTTTATTTTTTTTTTGTTGTTCTTTTAAAAAATAAAATGTGTTTATGTTATGCTGCAATAGGTGTTGCATTACAATACTTTCATTTGTTAAAGAGTAGTTCACAGTGCACATTTTTATTTTTAAAAATTATTTTCTTCACCCCATTTGAAATATTTCATTTTTCTTTATTGCAGTTCCATTCATTGAAATCATTTAGTTATTGCAGTAGAGGCATTTAATTTCTTTTTTGTAGTGTTTATTGTTTATGGTATGGTGTAATCAATAGATGCATTCTGAGGCTGCAACAAGTCCAAAAGTGAATCCCCTAAAATCAGACTTTGGGATGTGGTTGTTCTTAAGCTTCTTTTAGAATTAAAGCTAGTATATTATAAATAGAGAACTCAGTCCACAGTAGCTCTGTTTTCTTTCAAATTTTTATCAAACAGGGATTTTACACCTTCCTTTACCTGTGTTTTGTTCCCTAGCTTTTGTTTACTTCTCTGCCATATCCTTATCATTTCATAATTTTGAAAGTCAACCTAAGGTAATCATGTGGCATGTTCCATAAATGAAAATGATTAGTGTCCATATCTTAGGTGGGAAATGCCATAGTGTGCTGAACATAGTTGCATTAACCTAGAAATTTCTTAAATTTTTATCACCCTTTATCACTTCTTGTTTATAAATCCAAAACTTATTGGTTCTGTTGATTTCATACTTCACTTTTAAAGGTTTTGACTAATCTACTAGATGAAGTATTTTAAATTATAGGCCATAGTAAGACATTTCTTCATGTTTTTTTAAAAGATAGTTTTGTGAGTGTATCATTAATCTTTTAATTTATTAGAATCTATTTTTAATTGACATATTTAAATGTAAAGCATTTCTGAGAGCGTACGTACTATTACTCTTAATGTTAAGATTGCATTGTGATATAATTTTGGTGTTTGAGCAAGTTTCATTGAACGTTGTAATCTTTGATTTTTTAATTTATTTGGTTACTCTCTCTAAAAAATTACTTAGTCTAGTTACAAAATATTACTTTAATTTTAAAGCTGCTAATTTATTTTTTTATTTCTTCGTAACTTCATGGAAGCGTCCATTTTATTTTGCTAAACTGAATTCCCTTATTTAAAAAAATTATTAACGTGTTTATATTTGTGGTTGCAAAATTATTTTTTAAAATTGATTCAGAAATAACATCACCTATTAAATATTAAACATGTAATTAATTTCACCCTTCAGTCAAGTATTTTAATATTAAGCCATAAGTAATCTCTCCCAAGTTATTTTCATTTGGAATTAAATCATATAATTTATGTTCCTTTTTCACCTCAAATGTTGGTTAAATGCTAAATACGTTTATTAGTTTGAAATACAATTTTCAGATTGAATATAGTCTGCTTGTATACCTAAAATTATTATTAGAGAAGACTTCAAAACACAATATATATTTTAATTTCACTTTCCCTGAAGGCTCAATATTTATATTATTCTTAATTAGTTGCCATGACTAATACTAAAATAATAGCACAAAAACTAGATACTTTAAAAATGTATGCTCTTACGACCAAAAGAAAATAGCTTTAATAAATTGTTCTGCATAAATACTTAATTGTTCAATATCAAGTTTGTTAAAGAAAATTTTCTTTTTTATATTTCAGAAGAATAAACATTCCTAAAGAATCCCTGGAAGATTCCCAAGAGAGCCAAGAAGTTGAAAAATACATGTCTAATCCTAACCAAAATGTCACTGTTCAGTAGTAATTACATTATTATTGTTCAAAAATTATAATTGTTTCAGCTTTAAGTATGATTTTCTTGTATAAACTAAAAAGAATATTATTTTTTTCTTGTTCCATTGGTTATTTGATCTTAGAATAAAATGTGCTTAAGGTCAAATGTTAGATGCTAAAATTACACTGACTATTAAATGTTACTATTGTGACCGACCAATAAGCTTAAAGTTAAAGTGAAAATTAAACAGCAGAAGGAGACATGAATTTAGGAAGCCAACTCATTTTAGTTATACATTGAGTCAAGATACTCACTGTTCAAGTTTTATGTGATTTGAATCAGTGTCCAAGAGGAACGAGAAAGTTTAATCTTAGCATTAACCTGTATGTAGAGAGAGAGTAAGGTCAGGATGCCAATACTGATGGTGTTACGAAGTTAGGTTTCTAAAATTTTCTCTCATGAATGATGGTTGCCCGTTATTTTGGTCACAATTTTTGTCTATTATTAAAATGATCCCTTAAATCAATTTAATGATGACTTAGTGATTGATGCAAGTGTCTTAAAAAAACATAAAATATATTTAAATTCATAAATTTCAATTTTCAGTGGAAAAAACAGTCACAATTTTGGGTCATTCTGCTAAAAATCTGTCATATAGCAGTAAATTATTCCAAAATGTCGTGCGACTCAAGCCAGTAACTGATATATTTTCAAATTAAATGGTATCACTATGTACATATAATTATAGCATTATATATTTAAGTGAGATAAGTTGGATACTTTTAATTAATTTTTCTCAAAAGTAGCAAAATATGACTTTGACATGTAAGGTTTATCTGCGAATATATTCATTTCTCTCCCTTAAGTTGGCATTTTCCAGCCTATACTATTTTCATCCCCTGCGAATTCTTTTAATAGTCTCACACCTTCTATGAATTGTTTTGCTAAGTCTCACACCCCGTAGAAATTTTTTTTACCAAGTCTCGCACCCCCTACAAAAGTAACGGTGCATTTTAAAATAAACTTGTGACTTGAGACATATAAGTAAATTTTAATGAAATTTCTAAATAAAAAAAACATGTAACATTTATATAATAACTAAAAAGCTTATTTCACCTCTGTTCTTTTGCTTGCACCCCCTGAAATGCCACCTAGCAATTTAGGTTGGGCAACCCTGCCTTATCTTTCAAAAAGTCATTTAGTTAATATTGTGTTTTCTCTTAGTGAAATTACCAATTTATGTGCAATATTGTGATGAAATTGTCAATCTGTATTAAAACTGTTCAATACAAATCATCTTTGTTATGAAAAGCAACCACATTGTTTTTATGATTTATTTTAATGCTTAATGAGTAAATACTTAATGCCCAATCAAAAAGAGAAAGTAAAACTTTTATTTTCAATTTCAACTATTCAACCAAACTCAAACTGTTAAAGGTTTTTTTGAGGGGCTATAAAATATTCAGAGTAACAACACTAAAATATATCCAAAGAACATTCAATGTTATCAGAGATAAAATACATATATGATGTTCAATACACATTAATTCCAATATTGCTAAATGTCCAGCATCCATAATAGAAGTGGCTGCTTTATATAATTCATATGCACATGAATCATGAAAGATTTCATAATATATTGGAAAATGAATGGCAAATAAAGAATATTTTAAGAGTTTCTAAATCTGGGTCCATATTCCTTTAGGATTGGCAGATTTAAAAGCTATTTGAGAAATTGCTTGATGGATGAAAAAATTTCAAAAAACTTTTAACTGGCATCTTTATTTTCAACAACCTCAAAGCTAAAATAAACAAGATAGCAAATGAGATTCCTAGCATAGAAGGATTAAACAATACTTATGTTTAAAAACAATTCTAATTCTAGCATAGCATAAGAAGTTATGCAATAAAACAAAGTAACCTATATGGTTTGTAAAGTATTAATCATAAAATATATTTTGTTAGTTAACAAATAACTAGAACAATCACTTTCAGAAAAAAAAGTATCTAACTAAAACAAAAAGAACTAGGATGATATTGCAATCCATATCATCTTAAAAGAGAAATCAACATAGCAATTAACAGCCTTTTACCATACTATTACACTGTAAATTTTTAAGAATTTTAATGGAAACATTGGAAATATTTTAAAATATGTTAACTTGTTTTCTTTAGCGTAACAGCTATTACTTTGTTTATTTACTCAAACATTTTTTAATGTGTAGAGAAGAAAAAAAGGGTTTGTGTGTCAATTTGAGTACCTTAATCATTTACACTCCACTTCAAGTAATCTCTAAAGGATATTAAAATTATGTAACTAAGCACATTTTTTCAACCTGTTGCTTAAAATCATAAGTATGAAACCATAATGGTTAAATGTTATAGCTAGTGAGGTAAATATAATTAACATGGAATTATAAGTGACGCAATTGCTAATGATAGAAATTGTAATAATTTGTTGCATAAAAGTTATTATTTAGAAAACTCTGTTCACTAATAATAATCATCCATTTTTTTGTGAGGCATAAATAAGTGGAACTTTTTTATTTATAAAAGAATGCACCTCGGTTTAGACCATTTAAAGTGAGATGTAACAGAAAAACTTTTTTAAAATAAAAATTTAAAGCAATGCTTTGCAATAATGAAATAAGCAATTTTCATCTGTCTCATTATTTAAGAATACTGATAAACATAGAAAAGATAGAACTGGATTTCAAACATATGCCTGCAAATGTTTCAATCCAATGACCATTTCATACATTGCATTTTAACATCCACTTCTACATTTTATTATCTCACCATACAACATGGTATCAAGGGAAAATCTTTCTTATTCTTCAACTTGATTATGATACAAGGCTTTTAAATATTTCAAACTGTTCTGCAACATTTTTTTCCAAAAAAAATTAGGACCATAAACACAGTATAAGGAAGGGACAGAAATAGTTGTTCTAAATTTTAAATAATACTTATATTTATTTTAAAATCAAGACAAAGATTTGGATTTATTTTTATATTATTGAAATGTCCATTTAGTCAATGTCTTATAAGCCCAACAACACTGACAAAATAGCTTTATATTTTTTTCAATATTTAATTTGGACCTCATTTTACTAACTACATAAAGAAAATAGCAGACTGAGTCCTCCCCAGCCACATCATGCGCCCAAATGAACCAGCCTCTTGGCAGTTAACTTCAGAAAAAAGGCAAATATGGGAAAACTCTGGCATTACCCATGGGAAGAGATATGATACTGTTTAATGGGTTCTATACCCCACTTCTGCCTGAACTTCTTATGGTGAGAAGAAATATATCTAAGACTTCAGCCTACCCATTCCAATCCCAGAGCCTAATTTTTCACTTTTTAAAAAATATTATTGTTTGCCTTTGACAGTATGTGCACATGGCTGAGTAGAAACCACCATGCGTGTGGTGTGCACCCAGTCCAAATGTCAAATCTGTAATCATGGTCCATAACCATTGCCTAACATTAACTTCATTCCTTCATGTCTGAATCAACTAATGCGAAAAGCCTAACAAAACTTGCAGAATTAATAATTAATGGGTATGTCTTTCTCTTTAAAAAAATTTAAAATATTCTAAAATTGTAGAGATGAATGCAATAAAATGTTGACTATTGCAAGGCAAACATTTAACATAAGATTACACTGCAACTAATATGTAATCCTCAAAAGGTTTAAATATCATTAATTTTTTTTAATTTATTTATTCTGGTATATAAAAATTGAAAAAATTACTGAAACTATGACTAAATATCATTCCGTGAAATCAAAGTAGTCAATGCTAGCAGTGGGTTTTGATGCAGTAGCTCCTGCTTCCTCCCAAGCTCTTGTATTTGGAGCTGGTTCTTTAGCCACTGCTTTTTTCTTTTCTAAGACTGTAAACCTGTATGGTTGAAGGTAAAATGGCAAACATTCAGTAACTTTGAAAATCTGGGATATAATATTACATTGCTAATCTTAATCAAATTCAGACTCTAAAGGAAAATACTCAGATCCAAGAACATACAACATAAATATTTTACATTTATTGGACAAGTCACCCTAAAATTTAAATTCTCTAAATTTAGCTAAAATATTTGCCCACATCTGATTTGGCCTTCAATCAATACAGAAAACAATGGTCTAAAAAATAAAGTACTTGAGAAAAATGACCAGGAAAGTGTAATTTACAAGAATGATGATTCAGATGAGGACCTCAAATAGAAATGCAGGAGAATAGAAGAGCTTTGACAGAATTTTTTTGTAAGTTTTCCAAAAAATAAGAGCTAACAATTTTCAGTCAATTTCTATGATATAAAGATGTGGCAACAAATAACATTTACATTCAAATATTTTAAAATGAATACTGGCACAAACCCATGGAAATTAAATGGCCAGACTAAATCTAAAAAATATTTATATTTGAACATATTGGTATATAAAAAAAATGAGAACAAAATATTCAAATAAATGGTAGAAAGACAGTAAAATCACGGAGAGTGGTCCATCAAAAATAAGATCAATTTTATAATTAAATCTTCATTGCAATCACAAATTTTCTGTCAGAATAAAGGAACTTACGTTACACCCTGAGTTTTATATGTGGCAAAAGGTGGTGGTGCTTTAGGCACCTGATCCTTGCATGCAACCTGAGTCAATATTATATTTGGGAGCCAGCATTTATCCCTTTGGAAACAAAATTACAATAATTATTTACAATTTTCATGAGTTAATAATGTATTTTTGTAAAAGTACCATGACCAGTGTTTTAATGACTTAATTGCATAAAATATTAAATTTATTATAATACCCAATTTAATTACAGACTAAAATTTTTTTCACTTCTTGCAAATGATTTAGAATAATAGATATGAAATCATGATGAAGGTTGAATAAAACAACATTCCTGAATAAGAAGTTGTTTATTTTTTTGGTAGTATTCATACCATGGCAACAAAAAAATGGTATACTTACTTGTATGCTGTGGCCACAACATTTTTATTTGGTTCTGAATCATAGCTTTGTGTTTGGCAACCATAAAACTCAGCAAGTTCATGTACAAAGCGCCTTTGATCTCTATTCATGGATTGAAAAGGATGACTCCTACTTGGCTGTGCCGACTAAAGACAGTTGTCACAGAAGTTAATAGTCAACGTTAGTTTATTAAACATAAAAAGTTTCTTAAAAGATATTTAGTTTCAAAACTTTATTTAAGGTTTTAAAAAATCAATACATACTTCAAATCTTTTATTGGTAATGGAGTTACCTGTTTAGAAGACTGCACCAGCTCTGTAAGGCTCTTTTCAACATTTGAAGCAAATTTTACATTTTTTCTGAAAATAAATTAAGAATTTTAACAATATAACTATTTTATGAAAGTTACATTGCATAACAGTTTGTGAGTGTTCCTCTATTAAATAAAAAGCTTTACTCACTTGGCAAAATCTTTGAGAAATTCTGTAAAAGTTGGACTCCCTAGTTTAGCATTCATATCAGGATTTTTTATTTCAAGTGCCAATGCCAAGCGACGATTGCGTTCAATAATTGCACAGTTGGTGTCACAGTCCAATCTGTAACAGTCAAAAGTTATAATTGTGTGACATTTTTTTAACATATATATAAAAATTATTTTTCAAATTATGCTACTTAATTATTTAGAAGCCCATAAGTCTCAGCAGACACTACTACTACATTTAGAAGAACTTAGGTTTAACTAAACTATGTAACCAACATATCAGTCAAATTATCAAATCTTGCCTTAAAATAAGTTTCCCTATTGGCAACTTTAATTTACTACAAAATGACTAGCCTTTTGTTTGACTTTTTAGTCTGGGTAAACTGTGACATATCCACACCCTGCCCACCAGACTCAACAATGCTTTGTACACTGAGACGTTGGAATTGAGCTATTTCACCGGAATGGTCACCACCTGCTGAGCACGGAGCTTTTGCTGTTCTATTTCCACATGGGCATGTAATGGATATCTGAAATAAACAAGTTACAAATTATTATACAATAAACAAGCTTCATAATTTCATAGTGAATGTGACAGCAACTTAATTTCTCTATTTTAAACATTATTATAATCTATCTCTTTCATTCCTGTGAACATTGACATTGTCAACCTTGCCTCAGTTTTACAGACATCCTCAGGACAATCAGAGACATGACATGGTGCCCCACAGGGATGACCACAAGATGATCTAGGCTTTATACATGGTTGAGTACACACAGCATCTTCCTCTAAACAGTTGCCCTGTTTGAATTGAGAATCAATTTTGTTAGTGAATCAAAATATTATTTTATATTATTTTGTTAGTGAATCAAAATATTATTCCTAATATATAAATGAACTCATAAACGAACATATTAAATGATATTAAAAAATCTGCCACTGATCCTTAAAAGCTACTTCATAATGTAACATCGGAGGCTTAATTTTTCATAGACTAATAAATTACATTACAAAATAAAATTGAAAAACTAAGGAATGGTTTTATCGAGCATTTATCGTTTTCCATTACCTTGTGACATGTTTTCTGACACCTGTGTTGACCACAGGGTAACATTTTATTACATGGGTAGCCACAGCTTATGTTAATCATATGACAGGGAACATTTTTGCGCATCTGCAGAAGTAAAATATGAAAATGTAGTAAACTCTAAAAAACATTAGCAAAAATTAATGTCCGACTAAAGAAACATTAAAATGGCTCTAATTTGCCTTTCTTTAACCCATTTTTAAATCCACTAATAGTCTTCGTGATAATTTACATACCATGTGACCACCAACACACATCTTATCTGTCAGTTCTGTACATGGTGGGCAGATTTCATCTCCATGGCAATTGTGTCGAACTAAAATGTAAAAGCATTACAAGAAAATAATATTGGATGCATTGACAGCCTATCGCAGTTGATGGTCAATGCAATTGAAAAAATCTACAAAAACAATATATCTCAAATCTTATTCAACTGGAGTACCATTAAAACACTAAATCTTTCACATACAGGGAACAACACCATCTTTGAAATTAAATAATCAATATTAATCTTGAATGGTAAGTAATATTTAATAAATATTTTTTTATAAATTTCAATGGAATGAGAGTATGACTCATCAAAGGTAGCTAAAAGGCTAATTACCTGGATGATCACAGTCATGTTGCCTAGTGCACGTGTTACGACAGTCTGGCCGTCTGGTACCACATGGGATAGGGGGTTCTAAAACCTCTGCACCACAGTAGCATGTTAATTCATCAAAACCTAAAAATAATAATTTTATTTTTAAAGCTTCAATGCCAAAATTTAAAGCCAAAGCTGAGAAATACTTTAACATTTAATACATGCTGGTCAATTAATTCTGAAGGGCCAAGTTGTGAAACATCCCTGGCTATGAAATGAGAGACAATGTTGTTAGTTATAGATTCAAGAAACATGACCTCCAGTTTATACTACTGTTACCTAAGTCATACACGCACATTTCTTCAACTCCGGTCATGATCATGCATTAGTTCAAACAACAACTTTAATAAAACCTATAACCCCTTTTATTGGCAGACTGTATGGTGTTAGAGTAATGGTACAAAAATAACAACACACAGAAAATTGTTTTAAAATCTGACCAATTATTTTCACATTCTAAACTATATAAAAATTTTAATACAATACATACTGGCTTGCAAGCATCTCTTGCAGTTCCCTCTATGACAGAGTTCTTCGCACTTGTGAATTCCACAAGATAACTTCTGTCCACAAACTATCTCACATATATGGATATCTTTCTGTTAAAAATTAACATGTACAATACATTTGATAGGAATTCAGTAATCACATTTTTATTTAAAATGTATCCGCAAGACTTTAAATATAACAAATTTATGTTTTCACAAGCCTATACAAATAGAACAAATTGTATCCGCAAGACTTTGTAACTAGAACCAATTTTGTTTGTGAGCTAATTTCTATGGATGTAGTTTTTGCTTTAAAATATTTACTATGTGTTTTCAGTCATTTCTTTGGTCCAATATATATAAATTTCATTTATCACAAGGAATTAAATGAATTTGAAATTTTATCAAAGAATACTTTGATTAATTTGCTATGAAATTTTAATAGATACTAAAATGTCACAGGGTAAGACAAAATATATCAACAAATTAATTCTAACTTATCCGTAGTCAAACTCACAACACAGCATTTATCTGAGCATTTATGCCTTCCGCATGTCTTCTTTTTACCGCAACGCCTTTGGCATTTAAAAGGGTTTTTTTCTATTTAAAAAAAAAAAAAAAGAAAGCTATGATATGCTTTACAAGTGAAAAATTAACAACAGTTTCATATGGCTTTTTAATTTAAAAAATTCAATTTTTAACCAGCCAAATGGAGAAAACTGGTTAGAAAGAAAACATCGATTAACTTAAGTCTAATTACTCTGATTTATTCTAAGAAAATATTTTTTTTTATTTTCAAAGAAACTGAAAATGAATGAAACATATTCACATTCATGTAATACATTAATTAATTCTTTAGGGTATCAATAAAAATGTGTACCATTATAAGTGGCTGCTATTTCACAAGGTATATTTTTCTCAATTGCCCCACATTCACATTTAAGTAGAGTTTCTTTGCTGCAAGGTCCACAATCTCCATTGTGACATTTCTTTTCACACAAATGAGGCTTGGCTAATGGAGAAAAAGAGGTGATAAGGCAACACCAGCTAAAAAAAATATTCTGTACTCTACACAAAAGCGGAGTAAACATGTTCTTTTGAGTTAATTTTTACTTTCAACCAATAATAGGACAAGACAGGACAACACGATAATAATTATAAAATGCTGTCTTATGATGTCTTTGAAAAAGTTAGAAAATTTTCATGGTTGTAACATTTTGCATAGTATTATATATTATGAAAGCCAAGTTGTTTAGTTGTTTTTTTCACATCGACCATTCTTAAAGTTGCAAAAATTGTGTAGCCCTTGGCAACTATGTTTTGGATTGACATTATACAAACTAGGTTTATGTCACAGACGTTAAATAGAAATAAAATAATTATGAAAACCAAAAGCATAATTACACATCTCAGAAAATGAATTATAACTTTTGTTATTTACCAAAAATAGTACTAATTAAATCCTAGAAATAATTCTCTATAAGTTTTCCTTACATGGCAGGCCACAAGCCATAGGTTTGTTGCATATATTGCCACAGGTAGGCACAAGATCCAAACATGAACTTCTGGGAGTTACTTTGAGATCAATGAGAGGAGTTTTACCACAGCAACAGAACTGAAGGCTGCTGGGCATAAGTGAACATGGGGCACAGTCACATGGATGGCAGACTTCTTCACAAACATGATTCCCACAGTCAAGAGTTCTTGGAGGGGGAATTTTGTATTCAGTACATATTTATAAGAGATTTTTATACACTTGATGATTATTTAAATCTCAAAACATTGTCAGAAATGTTATGCCATTGATATTTATTGGTCTCTTAAAATTGATTTTTTTTCATGGAAAATATGAATTGATTTTTTTGTTAATTTATAATTAAGTTATTTTATTTTATTTAGTAGTTTTCAAAAACTGAAGTTATATTAAATCTATAAGTGTTTGCAGACATAACATGAATTTATGTGGGAAGAAAAGACAATATCAAAATGAAATTTTTTAAATCCTTATTTTAATTGGTGAATGAAATACCTTCCACAAACTTGTTCACAGCTGAAATAAGCCATCCTAAATTCTTCAGTTCCACACTGCACTTGCCTAGTAATCTTCTGGCAGAAACATTCTGATAAAAAAAGGAATAATATGTCAAAGTGTAGATATCACTATAATAATTATTTTTTGAAAAAAATCATCAAAAACTATTTAATAAATTTTTGTTTTTAAAAAAATGATTCACTAAGAAAACTAGACACAAAACATACATAAATAAAGATAAAGAAAGGTCATTTAAAATTTAAATTAAAAAAACAAATATCATGTGTTTTGAAAATTATTATATAAAACGATTTACCCTGGCTTTTAGTGACTTTACAAGGTGGGCATGGACCAGAATGACAAACAGCTGTACACTGATGGACTGCACACTCCAGAGTTCTACCACATACTTCATCACATTTAAACCTAACAGCTGCTGCACAACGAACATTTTTCCTAAATTTGAAAATTTTAAATTTTAGTACCAAAAAATATTTTAAAAACTTAGTCTATATTGGAAGAATGGTTTATTATTGTGTTTTTTTTCCTCCAATGACACTTACTACAAAATTTTAAAAAGCATAAAGCTTAAAACATTAACCAACTTTCAGCTACAAAATTATGTAAATATTTCAAACCTGGTTTTTTCACAGTCACATTTCAACCACACTGTCGAACTACAAGGTGGGCATGGCCCAGGATGACAGAGACTGTCAGAAGGAAAAAATTGAAATGATTAATTGAAACACTGAAAACAGGATATAAAACTAAAAGTAAATGTTTGAAAATATAACAAAATAAAATTAATATCAAGGAGTAGACAAGATAAAGTATTCTTAAAGTTTTAAATTAACTTTTCAGTAGCTAAGTCACAAAAGGATTGGTTTAACATAAGGACAGCATTAAGTTACCAAGAAACAAAAATATACATTGGACAACGTACAGAGTACATGGATGTTTACAGTCGCCCTTTCTGCGCTTCCGACATTGTTCACCACAGCTATGAGGAGTTTCCCCACGATAGTACTTTGGATCCTTTTTATGCCCTAAATTTTTTTTTAAAATAATAAAATATATATAAGTTCAGTTCCCCTTATCCTACAGAGTTATCAAGATAGTGTCATTCTCAATAGCATAGCCAGGGTTTTTATGCTAGGGGGAGAGAAAATTCAAAATAAAAAAAAGGCCCACACATCAAAAACGTAAGTTCATCAAATATAACAGATAAAAAGGATATTTTTTTTTTAATGAAAAACACTTAAAGACATCTAACATATGGGAATCAGAATAAACATATATTTACAGTAACTTTTTTTAATAAAAGGGTGTTAGAAATGTCCTTTCATTGTAGGGGGGGGGGGGGGGGGGGTAAAATCGAGGGTGCCAAAGGCTCCCAAACGAAGGTGGGTTCAAGTGTTCGAGGAACAGGCTCAGTGACCCCTCCCCAGAAATGTTTTGATAAATTCAAATTACCAGGATGCATTTTTGCACGTACATGATTTTAGTTTTTCATCACTCTACATTTAACCTGAGATAAAATAAGAGATGCTAGTGGAAATTTAGGTTCCATTGATCTGAATGTAATTATACAAAAATGCTGCAAAGCTATTTTATAATTCTTATTTCAACTATGTATTTGTTTAAACTACTTCATTAATAAATGAGATCTTTTTTAATCTGTCCAAAAAAGATATTCTGTCATTCTGCACCCTTCGCACACCCTGGGTACAAAACGCGCATTGTGACTGCATTGTTAGATGGCAGCATTATTTTCACTTCAACAAGCAGCTGTTGTTAGTGACACACATGGTTTAAATGGTTGACTAGCTCACTTATCTTCAGTATGACCCTCCCATATGACGCCATTCTTTCTTATCCACGCCTCTCCCTTCTGTCTAGTAATACACTTAAGGATGTGACAAGATGAGCAGAGACACATTTTTGGATTTCTTTAATGTTACTTTAAAGACAAGTTAAGTAGTGTTTGTTTTTTAATGAAATTTCACAGACGAAAAAACAAATCTTGATTATTAAACATGTTATATCCTTGAAACAATCACACTTTTGTAAATATGGTCTCAGGGGAACAGCCACTCCCTCACAGGCTAAGTTTCAGGTAATGCTCGAGAAACATTAAAAATTATCAATAATTATTAGCTAAATATAGAATTTATGTTGATTAAATTTACCACAAAAGCACCGGTATTGGGAAGGAATTTGAACTGAAATATTCTGGCATCCTGGGCAGCGCCAATTCTCAGCATCTGTTTATAAAAATTAAATAGTTTATAAATTTTATAAAGCTATGGCTCCTCCTACCTTAATGCATAATAATCATGGCAGGTAAAATAACTTAATTTCAAATCTGATCTGCTGTAAGTAATTTTAGATTTTCTAAGAACTGTCATAATGTCACTTTATTTGGATGAACAAAATATATTTAAAACATGTTCATAAAGTTGAACAACAAAAAATTGTTGCATTGTAAAGTAAAATTAAAAATTCCTTTTATTAACTTCTCCTTTATGATGGTTACATATACCATAAATAGAATTCCATCCTTATTACCTTTGCTGATGGAAGCTCGAGCCCATTTCTGGATGCAAGTTAAATGAAAGACATGGTAACAGTTTGAGCAACTCCAGACTGGAGCTTCTACACGTATGTTATCACAACATACCATACACTCATATCTGTTTTTTGACAGCTGCTCTGTTAGTGTGCCTAAGTAATTGTGAATTAAAAGTAACTGTGACTATGCCACTGTTAAACTAATACAGTATGATACTAATTATTTCAGAGTAATAACAGTTTATTTTAATTTCATATGTCCAAAAATGTTAAGGGACATTTTTTTTGTTAAAAAATAAAATATTAGCAGTTTAAAATATGCTGCATGTAGAATTTGACACTTTTTTTAAAAAAAACTTACATGATTCTTACATTAATCTTAATCCTAATTCAAACATATTACCAGGTTTTAAGTTTTGGTAAAGATATAGCTAGACAAGATTTTAATTTAATTCCTCCTACCTCTCTGACTTTCATCATTTTCCAAAGACTCTTGACCTGTACTTGTATTTTTTATACTTTTATCATTAGCCACTCGTCTGCTCAATCCTCCATAAAAAGCGACATTACTGCTGCTAGGATTGTTTTCATTTCCTTTTCCTCTGCTAAAAGTAAAAGAATCTGATTTATATCTTTCTTTGGCTTCTGTGGATTTCCGAACCCTATCAGTATTATCTTTTCCAAACTGACTAGTATGCTTGAATGAATCTATTTTTCCTGTCTTTTCACTCTGACTCTGCCTTGTAGGGCCATTATGATCTATTTCTCTAGAGTTTTTCTCAACCCTATCTGATTCACTTTCATGATATTCCCGATAACTCTTTTTACTATAATTTAACCTTCCATCTTGGCCAAAGGTACTTCTCTTGAAGGGGACATTTTCATGCCTTGTGTTAGAAAGCTGTTTATCTTCTGGAGTTGAACGTGAATTAACTTTTTGAATATTTGGATTATTTATATCTTCATAATGAGTTTCTGATTGTTTTTTGGTCTTCATTTCTCTTTTCTCACCATCACTTTCACTTAAGGCTTGACTTTGAATTGGTGGCCTATGATATTTTCCATCACCATTACCAAGTTTGGAGGCAACTGCCTCAGATGAAAATTTATCCAATTCTCTACTTTTATGATTCATGCCATCTCTGTATTTTCCTCCCTGTCTACCTCTGGGGTGATAACCTTGTTGTAAACTAGCTTCATAATAACCATCTTGTTGTTGACTATAATCATAGTAGCCATATGAGTTGCCCTGGTTTCGCCTCCCCCTAACATTATGAAATCTGCCGTTCGCTCTTTTGCTGTTGACATTTTGTTGCTTTTGCTGACCAGTTTTATCAAACTGAGTACCAGGTACCACTTCTACATTTTGCAAGATATCTTGTGAGAAGTTCCTAGGATTGTCAAAAGTAGTATTATAAAACTCATTAGTATGCAAAGGCACCCCAGGAATGTAATTAAGATTTGTAGCAGCATCATACAAATTATTATATGGTTGATAATATATGGGTTGAGGACCAGTGGAGAATTCTGCACTTGGAAGGAAATCATTATTGCTGAACCTCCCATTTTGGTGATGCATTGCAACTGGATAGGGTGGTAGCATTCTTTCTTGCATTGGGCTTATAAATGGTGGACTTCGCACATCTTCCATGTAGGCTCCTGACTGATAATCCAAGCTGTGTCCAGTTGCTTGGATGTTTTCATGTTCATTGCTTTGCCAACTCATAATCTGTTTGAAAAATTAGATTTTTCTTTCATAAATGCATTCATTAAAATTATAACACTAACATTATTCATATACTCCACTTGCACTTGCATCCATGCCAACCAGTACAGTTTACCCATACTTTGTACTTTTAACAACTTTTTCTAGGTTGTACAGCTGTACAGGACTTTTTACAGTTCTTTACTGGATTTAGAACAAACAAAAAAACTAGACCAAAAAAAAATTACTTGCACACACACAAGCACTGAAAAACGTCAACAAATTTTAAAAAAGGAAGCTTTAATCTGATTGTTCTGTTCATATTGACCTTAGGCCCAAAATTTGGGATGGGTCAGCCCTTTAAATATAGAATCTGAGTGTGGTTTGTCGTACATTGATCAGTAGCTACAAATTTCCAATTACATGGGTGAACCTAATTTTAAAAAAATGAAATTGGAATTAGACATGCCGCGAGGAAGTTCTTATGTGAGTGGTTGACCAAATAACCTGGGTTTATCTATTTTTCACCAATCGGATCATTGCATGAATTTTGAAAAATATGCAAACAAGAAAATAAAGTGCTTGCTTCAGGCGTTTGTGACATTAAAGCACATTTTAAAACAAAGTTGATAGGACAAAACTGTGAGTCAATAAGCGTGAATTTCTACCTCTGTTAATGTTAAGACCTTTTCTCAGCCCCTTGTAGATGTATAAGATAAAGCTACAAGGAAGATCTCATCTGCGAATTTCATTTTCCAGCGCAACCGTGCTGCATCTGAAGCTGATCATTTTTCAAATCTAGTTTCGGAAATGTTTACATTAAGTGTTATTGCAAAAAATTTAAATTTAACCTCGCCAAAATGATGACAATAATTAAGAAATCCTTGGCTCCAAATGTAACAGAGCCAGTTGTCAAGTTATGTCTGGAGAAACAAGTTTCTTTGATGATTGATGAATCCAACAACTGTAAAACTGACAAGCACTAAGCGAAAATGTTTTTAAAGATGGTTTAGGGACCATTACTAGATATGCCAGTAGGTAGAGGTGGAACCTGTGAAGCCATTTTCCAGGATATTGATGCAGTTTTTATTAAACTGGAAATCCCAAAGAAAAAATGAATTTTGTTTGCAAAAGGCATTTGTAACGCTTTGCTTGGCAAGTCTAACTCAGTGCTGACACAAATCAAGTCCAAGAACCCCAATTTGTTCAGCAAATCTTTGCTTACAGGCGGGTATAAAACCACTGTCAGTTTCTGTAGATGAACTTTTAGTTGGTATTTACTATAATTTTTTACACAGTTTAAAAAAAATAGAACCTATAAGGAATTTCAACTGTTTACTGGTGTGGATGGATTAGAGATTTTTAAGCACTGTCAGACTCGCTGGCCTTCCTTGCAAAGAGTGGTGGACATAATTTTGAACCAATATCCAGCTCTTTCTTCATATTTTGAGAGCCTTAATGATTAGAAATGCCTGGCAAAATGAACAATATTTATCAGTTGCCTTAGTTATTACTTACAAAGATAACTGTACAATTCTTCCAGTTTCTGTTACCTCTAGTATATGAGTTTAAAACACTATTTCAGATGAAACTCAAAGTGTTGCTTTTTGTTTTTTTAGAGGAAATACATTGACAGCCCAAAATGTTTTTTTTTTTTAATTTGTGGAAATGAAGCATATAAAGGAGCTTCAAGATCTGAGGTTATTGAACTACATGGATCGTAATCTGCAGCAAAATCACAATTCACTTGCCATTGCCCTCTGAAATAGGACTATAAAAGAATCAGATTTACATCAAGATAAAACAACTGTGCTTTTTAAAGACATAAGAAACTTTTACTCAGCAACAATGAATAGATGCTGAAATTGTTGCCATTTTATAACAAAGTACTCAAGGATAGCAAACTGTTAGATCCAAGACTCAAAGACACAAAACCAAGTCTAGCCATAAGCAGGTTGGTTGGAAAACACATTCGCCTGTGATGTTGCCCTAGAAATTTTGAAGGTTGAGTATGAATACTACCATTTGTTACCAAGCCTTCCAAGTTCAGAGGTTGAACAGAATTTTACCAACTATTGTCTTGGTGTGATGCGCCAGAAAAAAGATGTGTCATGTTGAGGTTTCGAATCTCTCAAACAATATAAAACAATTGCTGACCTTGCCTCTCAGCAATGTAGACTGTGAGGGATCTTTATCAACGTTGAACAAAAATCCAGATCAATTGTTGAAATAGACTTAATGAATGGTGATACAATCACTTACAATGCAAAATCAAAAATGACACTTGTTTGGATTTTCAAACTAATAAAGACAGCAAAGTTGGCTCGCATTCAACGAATTGATAATTACATTTTAAAAATGAAAGCCTAAATTATACTTTTTCAACTTTTCTTTCTTTTGGAACAGTTTTTATGCTGTTGTGCAGTTTTTTTTGGTTGAAAGACATTTTGTACAGTTATTTTATCCCACAGGTTGGCATGTACGCCCACTTGACCTGTCATTACTTGAATGTTTTGTAAATTGTTGCCACCTGGGTAAATGGCATAATGTAAGGAGCTCCTTGAAAATTTAAGTAGGCCTACAGTTTTCTTTCATAATATTTTAAAACATCCTTAGAAAAGTGTAATTAGTTTTAAATTTTTTATGTATTGGATTTTTATATAATTTCCATTTTGTAATTTTTCTAAAAATTATGGTAAACTTAAATTTAAAGCAACATGCTTTGTTTGATTAGAACTAAATATAAGCCAATATTCTGAGTTCTGAGGCATGACTATTGGCCACTATAGTATTGATTACTACATTGGGCTAATTTAGAGAGATAGAACCTTACATCATTTGCATGTCTTGTCCCTAGTTCCAATAGGGTCAAAACCCTGGTTCCGATAGGGTCAAAACCCTGGTTTCGATAGGGTCAAATTCTGGTTCCTATAGGGTCAAAACCCTGGTTCCGATAGGGTCAAAACCCAGGTTCCGATAGGGTCAAAACCCAGGTTAGGGATAAGTTTAGGGTTCAGGTTAGGTTTAGGGATAAACTTAGGACATAAATTCGCGGGTCACCGCAACCAAGATGGCTGCCGCAGTACTATCTCTCCAAATTTACCCTACATTGCAGCAAACATTATATATAGGCCTATAAATTAGAAATAAATGTGTTTAGTTTTGAGAAAAGTCATTTTAATGTAACTAAATCATTTAAATTTAACTATTGACATTGACTAATTGAGTTTGAGCTTTAAATTTTAACAAGCACGATATTTAATTTGTACAAAAACAAGTTATAAGTTATAAGCAGGTAAGTAATGTATATAATATATTATTATTTGCTACTAAGTCGCTTAAGTTAAGTAATCTAAGTTACTAAGTATTATTTATTATTAGGCCTTGCCTACTTGGACTAAGTAAGTTGGACTAATAGAAGTGGACACTACGCTACTCCTCACTGAAACCGTGATTTGAATTTGAGTGAAACAGCTGATGATGCATTATTTTTCATTATCAAATTATTACTCATCTCCAGTCATCTCATAATAATAATAGTCTTACTCATATATAATGTATTATGAATCATATATAATTTTCAAGTGTACCTTATTAGTTTTACTGTTAGTTAGCCTTACGTAATAAAAAAAAGATGGTCGTAAACTATTTTTTTTTTTAGTTTGTCGATAAAATAGTAAATTCAAAGTGAATAAAAGTAAAAGTAAAACAATCAATTTTATTTTATCAAATTCAAATCCAATGGCAGTGATGGGTAAGTCAAACTTACCGAATTTTCTGTCCTCTTTAACTGAGTTTACAAAAGTTTACCTACAATCGTTTCCTTACTTCTATTTATAAGTAGACTTATTTTACAACGCAATAAACTTTCAATAAAGTTATCAACAATAATTTCTAAAAACCGACGTGCGAAAGATTCTTTTTTAAGCTCGGCAATTTCAATCAAAGCAACATGACTTCAACATTTTTGTGTAGGAAAAGTTCAAAAATATAAATTTCAATATCATTATTTTCATTCAAAGATTCTTAAATATGTTTTGTGTGATTTAAGACTTAAGTATTAGTTGCTTTTAAACACAAACATATATTTTAATATATCTTATTAATTAAAGTAAAGATCATCTTAGCCCAAATAACCAGTCATGACAGTAAATTTACAGAAAAACAGTGTTGATAGTGTGTGTAACATCATATCGCATTTGATTACAGATTTATTTGTTGATGGGCCAACATTACTCGGTTATTTTGGCTCAAATTGTCTTAACTTAAAACTTTGAAATTGTTTAATTTATGCTGTGAAATGGCCACTCGAAATCGTAGCTATGATAAAGAAAGTAAATTGAAAGGACTGAAGAATGACGATTACATTAACTTTACTCCACCGAAGTCGCGAGAGGAACTGTTACAAAAGAAACACATCTCCTTTTTTAAACGTGTGTTGCAAGTATTACCATCCCAACAACTTGATACACACAGGTAAGTGATAAAAATAGTAAATAACAGAGTAATACATGACTCAAAAACTTTTTGAGATATTGCTTGGTTTCATTTTATGAATTGAGTGTAGGCCTATGTATCAATAGTCTTTTTTAAATTAAATTATGAATTGGGCGGACAAATGGGGCATGAAATTTAATGAAACCAAGCCAAATGCTACACAATGAGTAGATACTTCGGTCAAAAATGTAAACATTTTTAAAAAATAAACCAATGGCACAGTTGAATAGAGCTAATTTTAAACAGAATTATAACACCAAAATCATATTTTTAGCTGTTGTAGTTTTAAAGTTATGAATTTTTAAAGTACGACTTGGTTTGTCATTTTTTAACATGGACTGCATCTCCACATTCTGTGACCTCATTCCACTGATCGCGTCATGCGCAATGACTATAATAGTCTATATAGTTTATATAAGGCAACGCATTCCCTATCACTAAAATACTGTTTAGGGTCGACTTATTTTAAACTTTCAATTTTGGCACATGAATAAGCTTTCCCTGACCAATGGTTTAATAGCTTTTGCACACGGCAAACTCTTATGAATGAAACTCTGAGATAGTACTACGACGTAGCCGTTATGCAAGTGGCTGTGAATGGTTGCCAATGACAACGTGTTGCACAGGGAAAATTCTGATCATTTATAATATGGACTCTGCAGGGTTTTTAAAGCTCAAATTAAAACATTTCCAGTTTAAATGTCTTCAAAATGCATTCTGAAACACAAAATATAAAATATTTTGATGTATATAGTGGTAATAATTAAATATTTCCTAAGTATCGGCAACTTCCGCCATTAAAAAGGGGGCGTGGCCCACGCCATGTCGAAATTAGGCTGAGCCACCTTATGGTGATATGGGTCACTGTGACAAGTGTAACAAACGTGAGACACGACCTACATCAATGAAACTTGGCACAGATATAGATCAATATCTAATGCTCATACAGATTTAATCAAAAAGGACCTTATCTTATTATTTCACAAAAAATTTTGTATGCGAAGATGCCTTATATATACCAAAGATTTTCAAAATAAAGGTCGATTGAAAAAAGCAAAATAGCTGGCTAGAAATGTAGGCCAAGATGTCTTCCAAATTATAAGGCCGGAAACGGAACTCAAATATATGTGGAAAGAACTAATTTAATAATAAATAGACACACACATCGGAAAATTAAAAACTCGGATTTTTCGGCGCCGACAGCCATTTCCGATACAAAAAAAATAGTAGTCTCCCTTGTTTCATCGAAGTATCTACAATGAATATGAGCATCTCAAGAAAAAAAAACATCAACCTATATGTACTCACTACACGAGATAATTCTCCAACAAGTATCAAATAATCCATACCTTGGAATTCTCTTCTCAAATAACCTAAAATGGTCACCCCCATATTGGCCATTTAAACAAAATTTTTAAAAAAGCCAACTCTACACTAGGTTTCATTTGAAGAAATCTGCGCCACTGCCTAACTTCCTGCAAACAAAATGCCTATCTCGCACTCGTCCGTCCACTACTAGAATGTGGTGCAATCATCTGGGACCCACACCGAAAGCAAGACGTGGACAAGATGAAGCGAAACCAGCGTAATACGGCTTCATCGCACATGACTACAAATCCACCACTTCTGGCTTCGTCACTGGCCTCTTAAAAAGATTTGACATCCCCTCCCTTAAAGACAGACAAGAGGGGCTCCGCCTGATATTCTTATATAAAGTGGTCATGGGGCTGGTGCCGGCCATCCCAGCAGGCACGTACCTCACCCCACAGAAGCCGGGTCGATTGATCAGAGCGAAACGCTCACTACACTGATTTCACCACTGACAACCCCATAAACAATTACACCCGAAACAATAGTGTTACGCACTGCCTTCTATTTTGAGAAATTAATCTCGTATTTTTAATTTTAAGGCTCGTTCAAACTGTGCCTAACAAAGGACGATACCATAGAAATATGATAATAAAGATATGACACCCAAAACAGTTGCCAGTTACAATTAATATGATTTAATTTAGTAATAATACAATAACAAAACAAAAGAAATATAATTATAAATCATCAACTTACAGTATGGTAGATTTTGTACCTGTACACAGTTAGTACAATGTGCCAATGAATAATGATGAATGAAGAATGCGAATAAACTAATATATAAGAACACAAAGAATAATACACGTCTCATACAGTTAATAATTTCTATCTGAATCTCCGTCCCTCCGTATCTGTCACTCCCTTACTTACATGTGGGTCTACCGACGCGTAAACCCTGCCTTCCAGAAGCTACTCAGCATTTGTTTACATTTCTAGAACAAATCGAGATCATTCGACAAGATACTAAGGGACAGTCTAACCATGTTTAATTGGTAAACACGGCAGATCAAAAGAACTAGCCCCGCCCATCTATGAAGCGAGCGTCTGCTTAATAATCTAATTTAAGGTCAAGCAAAGTTCATGCACGGGGAAATCGTGTAAAACGTTATACATAACAAAAGCAAATGCTTCACTGTGCCTTGGTGTAACACAGGGCAGTATAAATAATCATTCTTCTCACGCACAATAATTGCTCGGAACCACCCGGACAATGCCGCTGTGGACCCGACATCGGTCGAAAGCTTCAAGGCTGCCCTGGCATCTGCTAGGAGCTGTTAGAATAGCAGCATCGCTGCCCCAACCGTTGCACAGATGCCAGCATATGGAACCATTGTAGCCCTGCTTAGACCTTGACTTAGCTTAGTTAAACTGCAGGAGTTTTCTCAGGGTTTTCAACAAACTTCGGACATTCTTTTTCATAATATAAAAATATAATTAAGTGTAGGCCTATGTATCAATAGTCTTTTTTTAAATTAGAGTTGTTGTTTTTTACAAACATAAAACAGTCATTTTGAAAAAAGACTAATGCTATTCGGCTCGGACCCGGGATGTCTTTTGTTTACACCTCGTAAAATAATCCCTGGTCCGCTTATAACATTTCTCTGGTCCATTCATTACGAGGCCATGAGACACTTTAACCAACGCTTGTAGATTGGTTGCTCTCTGGTGTTGGTAGAATTCTATTATGTAGCCTAGCCAAGTCTCACGCTTTGCATCTTTTGCCTGGGTGCTGTTTCCCTGGTCAGCTGCTTACAAAGGACATAATCATTCTTTGTTACATTGATGTATTGGAGAAACACTGGCATAGTGGGAGCGACATGTTCTCTACGGCCTTGCCATTTTTCTGTTTAGGAAGGCCTAGGCAGTGGTGCAGTCACAGCGGGTTACTGGTGTATCGGTTTGCAGTAGCACTGCTGGGCAGATTTCTGATTGTCAGTGGTGCATAGCCTTGTTGGTGTGTCCCTGCTCCAGTGCCCGAACATCTGAAAGCAGGACAAATAAACCCATGACAACTGACCATAAGACATCTGAACACAAAACAAATGAACCAATGGACAAGTGAACACACAGAAAAGTGAACATATAAACAACTGAAACCATGAACAACTAAGAACAAAACAAACAAAAAAAGAAAAATATGCTCATGCACCAAATAAGAAAAATACGAGCATGAAGCTCATCTCAACCATGAGCGGTGCTTTAAATAAATTTGGCACCCTGGGGTTTTCCAAAGATGATGGATCGAATTCCGGAAAATTTGACTGGTTTACTTGGGCGCCGACCGGTTGACCAAAGAAAATTTGTGTTATATTATTTTTGTATTTTTGGACCCACCCTGGGAGACGGAAAGTGGTTTGACAACTTTTTCCAGAAATAGCATTTATTTTCTGGATTTTCTGCTCAGCATGCTCCAGAGTTGACAATGATAACCATGGATGCTCACAAAGTGCCCCCTATGTCAGACTGACACTAGTTGCTGAATATTTGGCTGGTCACGCGTGTCACTAACATGACGAGTGGGCAAGGTTGGCGCCCTATTGCTCAGGACAGAAAATAAATAAAAAGCTCTTATCCCGGTTACAGTTTCTGGTCTTTTCTGAAGCTCGTTGCCAGCTGCCTGTATGCCCCAAAAACATTTACACGTGAGTTTTGACTTGGCCATGGGACATTGCCATTTGAGAAAATTCTCAGAAGGCTCATTTGTCTATGTTCTCACTTGTATGTGTGGTCACTTGTCTGTATGTTCACTTGCCATGTGTGCGGGTGTCTTGTGATAGTTTTCATGGGTTCACTTGTTTGAGAACCATTTGCTGCATTGGTTGGATATCAATTTCTAATCTCTAAGGCTTCAAGGGACCATCTGTATATTCCGAACGCTCTGTGGTTAAAGGAGCCAATGCTGAGTATCATAATAATAAAACCATGGGCTAAAGATTGTCAATAAATATACTAAGTTTTAAATCCATTAGAAAAGAGAAGAAACACTAGAAGTATATCATATATATACTTTTTCTTTTTAAACTTACCTTGAGTCTGTGTAAAGGGGTGGGGAGTGGGAAGAGCTGAGGTTACATCATCAGTTATTACTTTAAGTGCTCCTCCCCGCCCACCCTGGAGAAAAATATATACAACTTAAAGCCCATTTTGGTGCCCAAGGATTTTGTCCCCTCTGCCCCTGCCGCCCCCCCCCCCATTTGGGACTGCCCACTCAAAAATCTGAAATGCCCCCTTCCCCCACTGTGGAGGAAATTGTCTGAAAGAAACAGTGGTCATATTATAAATTCTGCATGGTTCTCAAGATGAGCTCATTAATTCAAAATGGCCATCAAATCTGCTTATGTCACATTTGAATTTGAACACAACATTAACAATATTCTTTAAAATATAGGGTCATGTATATCGTATTGAAAAGGGGAAAAATAATATTTATTTTAAAAGTAGCATTTGGAATGGTGCCTAACAATAAAATAAAATTATTTTTATATCTCTGAAAGCAAAATCTGAAGAAGAAAAAATACAATATTCAGATTATAGCTGATGCTTCAGTCTTTCTTGCATAGATTATTTAAAGTTTCTTTCAATTCTATACTCTTTCTGCTAAGTGTAGCATTAGTTTTTCGTAGAAATGCACATTTGCTGCAGTGAGTCTTTATTCTTTTTAGTCAACTGATATTTATATGAATCTGTTAAAGATATTGCATTCTGGGAGCATGCTGCATTTGTAATTTCCTCCACCTATTTTTTCTAGGTCTTTTTTTAAATTTGTAAATCCAAAAAGCCACTTGTCTTTTTCTTTTTTATTGGCAGTGTTGGTTGTTACTTAAAAGTTTATATGTGAAAAAAAATCACTGAAAAACAATATGAAAATATAAAGTTTTAGCCTATTTAAGCATTAAGCAACAATCTTTAGGGCATAAATAAAAGTAATTCACATTTTACAAGCTAAATAAACAATTTTACTACTATATAAAAAAAGATGTGCTTCTTCAACATCTGTTTCCTACAAAGTGCAACTATTTTGAAGTCATTTGGGAGGCTTTTAAATATAATAAAACAAAGTATTTTACTGTCAAGTATTTCGTATGTATGTCAAGTAGTTTTCTTCATATTTTCAAACTAAACATGTGTCAGATAGCTTACTTAGACTTAGACCTTTTACCTATAGCCTATTATATTAATGCATTAATTTCATTTACTTTCAGAGTATCTGTGGCATTCTTTGCTATTTCAGGACTTGATGTGTTAGAATCTCTCAAAGACATAGATGAAAAGCGGGATAATATCATAAAATGGATTTACAGCTTACAAATCCAGCCTGACTTAAATGGTGTGTTTTTTGTTAAATTAGAAGTTTTAATATATTTTGTATTATTTTGTGAGACCATTCAATAAACCAAAAAAAAAAAGAGAATCTTTGATTTTTTAATTGATAAATACATAGTGTACTAAAATTTAAAACATCAAGAATACTGTCAAAACTAATTGCCAAAAGACCTCAACTGTACACTGAACAAATTCTTAATGAGTACCAATGTGGATTCAGACAAAGCAGATCAATGACTGATCAGATTTTCACCATCAGATCCATATTAGAGAAATGTTATGAATATAATATCACAGTTCATCAACTCTATATGGACTATAAAATGGCCTATGACAGCATCAAAAGAAAATATCTATATGAGATTCTGCAGGAGTTTGGCATACCCAAAAAATCTGATAAAACTGATACATGTAGCATTAAACAACTCAAAAACCAAAATCAAGGTTCAGGCAGAATAATCTAAGCAATTTCAAATTGGATGTGGCCTATGACAAGAGGACTCACTGTCTTTATGCTATTTTACCTAACATTAGAGTTATAAGAAACATATATATTGACACCCGAGGAACAATAACAAGATACGTTTTGTGGGAGACCCAAAACACACAACCTATAGTTACTCCCTACAATCAACCCCTTCAGTATCTTGCATATGCTGATGACACAGCACTGTCTTTATTGAATTAGAAGATGCATCACTACATGGAGGGCTGGAAGTTAACAACCAAAAAACAAAATACATGACAATGATAAGAGAAGAACAGACAGATGAAACCATTAAAATTAGAAACTAAACTTTTGAAAAATTAAATAAATTCAAATATCTTAATAAATAAAAGAAATGAATTACTAACAGAAATAAACGAAAGAATATCAGTCGGAAACAGGGCATACTTTAGTAGTCAGTAAATACTCAAAAGTAAAAAAATAAAACTATATATTACACTGTAATCAGACCAGTTGTAACATATGCAAGTGAAACTTGGACCCTAACAAAAACAACGAAAACCTATTAAACACATGGGAGACAAAAGTTCTGCAATATGGAGCAACAAAGGATGAATATGGATCGCGAATATAAACCAACAAGGAAATGTATAAGCTATATCAGGATATTACGCTAGTTGCAGAAATAAAAACAGCAGGCTTCGCTGCGTGGGACACTTAGAAAGAATGCTAAATGACAGAGGAGTAAAAAAGGTGCACCACAAAAACCCCAGAGGAAAATGGCTCAAAGGCAGACTTAGGCTTAGATGGATGGATGATGTTGAAAAAAATCTACAGCAACTGGGAATCAAAGCACAGAAAAGAAAAGCATTAGTTAGGTGTGAGTAGAAGAAAGTGGTGAGACAGGCCAAAGCCCTTCATGGTCTGTAGGGCCACAGAGATGGAAGAACTAAACTTTAAAAATCATTTTCTGTCCAAAGTTACTCTTTATTCATGTGTTAGTGATATAAGATGGGTAGTTTTTTTTTGCCATAGACATTAGCAAGGGCAGAGATTTACCACAAAATGCTGCAATAGAGAAAAGTATAGTATATAAAAATTTGGATCTCTTTGAAAACTTCGTAGTCATGTAAAGAATCAGATTTTTTTACGTTTCATAAATATACACATTGATTGATGCAAAATATAAAAAAATTAATTATAATTAAAATTGAAAGACCACAATCAGAAAAAGATGAAAAGATATCTAAACTATTGTCAAACACTGCAAGTGTTCAGTTTAAAGGATTTGCTCTCAATAACATTTTCTAAACCAGGGTTCCTCAAACTATTTTAACACATTGTCTTTTCACTGGCCCTAGTAGGGGGTCAGACATTCGTTTAAAGACAATAAATATGAATGAATCCCTATGCATACTGCACAAATTTTTTTTGTTCTGCAAAAAGAACGGGGAAAATTCCAATAAATACAAAATTAATTTAAAATGAAGAACAATTTTAATCAATATAAACTTATTAGTATTTTAATTAGAATTATGGGCCTGGTTTGGGTAATGATATAGTCAATGCACTGTCCACATTTGTCTCAGGTACCCATACGATGGCCAGGAGGGCCAGGTAAAGGACCCCTGATGGGCTGGATCTGGCCCCCCAGGCCGTAGTTCGAGGACCCCTGTTCTAAACCATGCATTATTTATGTAATGATAATTATTAATTTTAATACTGATAACTTTCAGGCACAAATCACAAGCAATGTGGTTTTCGTGGATGCTCAATGCTTGGCCATTTATATGATACAGATAAGGTAATTCATAGGTTCTCACTAAATAACATAGACATAGCTGAAATAAATGCAAGGAAATTTTTATTAGTAAATTTTTCCATTCTTTCTCTCCTGACAAGCAACTTGGACCATCCTTTCTGAATAACAAGTACACATTTCCAGCATTTGTCAGTTTAAATGTACACAGCACATTTCTCACTAAACCGTTATTGTATTTTACATGCTATTGTGTTTATTTCTTAGCGTGGGAAATGGAGAAAATTATTTCAAACATTCTGTATATTTTCATACAGGCCAAGGAGCAAGTGATACCTTACGACAGTAGTAATATTGCTATGACATACACATCATTAGTTTCACTGCTGATACTAGGTGATGATTTGTCAAGAGTTAATAAAAAAGCAGTTATAACTGGGATTAGAAGTTTGCAACAGTCTGATGGAAGGTTTGTATGACTGTATATAACTGTTTTGCTTTTTCATGTGAAACTATTATAAAGGCAATATTGGTTCTTAAATGATCTCAAAAGTTCAGCTATTACATGTGTTATTCATTATCAAAAGCACAATACTCTTTAGAAGTGTGAGGTTGACTTTTTTTTTTTATTGTACTTTGGTGTTTTCAAAAAGGAGATGTAAGTGGAAATTCAAAATATTTTATCAAATATCTATTTCAATTTATTTCAAATTTTAACAGTATATTTTTCCTGGGTGACAATGAAAAGTATTAATGAGCATTTTGAAATTGTGTAGCTAGCTGTTACTGAAAAAGACTGCTACTTTATAAGTAATGGTTTCAGGAGATTTTCCAACAATCTTCTCAACCTTGTCCAATTATTTTTGATGCAACTAGTTTGTAGCTGAAAGCATTTAACACTTTAATTGGAAAGATTATGCACAAATATGCAAGCTTTTTTGTTTTAGACAGTGCTTAAATAAGTTTTATTCTTTCTCTAAAAGGCCCATAACTTTTCATTCTGCTTAAAAATTGATGAAAAACTTTTATGTTAGGTAGCCTACCAACCTCGCAGTGTTAATGGCTGTATTAGGTCTGAGCCGGGTACTGACCTGGATACCCAGAAATAACAAGTATTATTACACCTGGCACATAAAAAAGTTGGCAGCTTCCATGCGAAACTATAACCATAACTATTACAGAGCACTTGCTACAGAACCCGCCACCCCCTATCAAAATTTAAGTACATAAAATCTCTGCCCTCCCCTTCTCAATGCATGTTTCTCAATTTCAAGGTATAATTCTGGTTGTGGTCGCCACAACTTGGCTAATGTTATAAAGGTGTAGCAGCACTAAAAAGGCGGAGAACCGCTGGGTTAGGATTATATTATTAACCTATTAGTGTTTTGAATCCTTCAACTTTTGATGCCTTCATGACCGCCACTGGTTCTATACGTGCACTTTTTGCTTCTCCCCATTGGGTGGAACACGTTATAGAAAATAAGAAATCTCTTACTCCAGGGCTTGTGCCCGCCCATATTATCTCAAAATACCTGGACCGGGTGTAAAAAGGCTGTATTGGTCCTGGTTTCATGTCATTTCTGAGAGGAGAAAATACTTAAAGCTTTAATTGATTTTAATTTTAAAGAACATGAAGATCTCATAGTTTAATCCAGAACTATTAAGCCACAGGGATCTAATAAATTAAAACCTCTGTGCAGGACAGTGAGCTGTGATCACATCTAGATTTTTATATTTGACTAGAGCATTAAATCTTCTTAATTTTATCTCATGAGCAAAAATGTTTACAAATTCCTAAGCAAGAAACACACACAATGCAATTTGTTTTAAATTCAAATTCTGGGTCAAAAGTTCAAAAAATATCTTTCCTGTTAATACTTTCAGATTTTTTTTAATTCCATGTATTTTCCTGATACAATTAGGCCATGTCATATTTTTGAGACATGACAACCAGAAAATCATTAAAAATCTTTTAGAGAGACCATAGAAATGCTATTTTTATCACTTACAAAGTTGGTTTTTTATACAGGCTTTTCTCCTTCCATCAAATAGTTGCTATTCTGGACACAAGTATCATAACAACATTTTCATATACGAACTGATGAAATTCAGACTTATAATTTTAGATAATTTTTCTTTTTGTCTGTTTGTCATTTAGTTCTGCCACTTTTAAGATAAACTCTGAATCATATCTAAACTGATTTTTTAAATTCCAACTTAGATTGATTTGCTTAAAAAATGGCAAGAAATCTTTCAATTCAGTTATCTCCCTTCTTCATATGTCCTTCTTTGGTGCATTGTCCCACTGTTTGGTGATTATTTTATTACATTAAGTTATTATTTAAAGTTGTTATCAGACCTATTGATTTTCTGAGGTAAATTTTATAGCAAAAAAAAAATAATAATAGTTTTTTAATAAAATGCCATTTTAGCTATCTGGAACAATTTCATGTGGTCAACTCCACTCTTTTTTATAAAACTATGGAATTTTATCCAATATTAATCTCACAATATTATGGACACCAGTAGGAATACTGCCTCAGGAATAAAGTTTTTAACAATTGTATCTTAAAATTATTAAACAAATTTTTTTTAAATAACCAATTACACCCATTATATCATTTTTTTAGTTTAATTTTTATGCTCCAGCAGCTGAAATGGACATTTTAAATTTTAAATTGTGTACCATGCAACATTTTTGCAAATTACTGGTGTATCACATTAATGTTTTAAATGTTGTTGGGTAATGTGTGTCTAATTTATTTTGTGGTGGTTTTTTTACAGCTTTTAAATTTAATTTTATTTTCATATTTCTTTTCTATTTATTTTTTCAGTTTCATTTCAGTTCTGGAGGGCAGTGAATATGACATGAGATTTGTTTACTGTGCATGCTGTGTGTGCTACATTTTGGATGATTGGAAAGGCATGGATGTAGATAAAGCTGTATCATATATTGTCCAGAGTCTTGTGAGTGGCATGTTAGTGGGGGGGGTTTTCATTAGCACTGTCTTTTAAATGATCAGTTCTTATTTCACGGGTGTAATGTTTTAATGAGGGCATATTAAAAATTATTCTTTTCATTTCAACATAGTCTCACTAAAACCATTCAGTAAATTGTTGTGAAAGTTAAACTGGAAATTCAAACACATACATTTTTCAATGTGGATTGCATTGAATTCAAATTGCCCTACATCAATTGCTACCAAAAATTGTCTGCTGAATATTTATTATGCTATTATTTATGGTGCTTTCTAATATTCTCTAGGTAATTTATTGTTTTATTCAGTTGAAGACAAAGATAAATAATCTTGGACATAACTAACTGGATTCAAATTTGACAAAACTCCAATTAAACATCCAAAAGTCCTATTTAAAACAACAGCTAAAAGTCTTAATTTAAAAAAAACATCCAAAAGTCCTATTAACACATCCAAAATTCTATTAAAACTTGTGGATTTCATTTCTGATGTCATGTGGAATATTAGCCAATTAATCATCAAAAAAAGTAAACTAATTGACAAAATGGCCAATTCAGCCGATTTATTGGTGCAACCCTATTATAAATGTTGCAGCAGAGTTTAAGTTATGCTATTCTCTCAAAATGTATCATGTGTTTTGAAGTTTAAATTCTATCAATTTCAGTCATATGAAGGAGCGTTTGGTCAAAGACCGTTCAATGAAGCGCATGGTAAGTAATCTGTTGGCACTTTTTAAAATTCATTTAAGTTTACTCAGTGCCGTCTTAGCACATAGGCACACTCTTCACTTGCCAAGTCCCTACAATAGTTCTATAGGTCTAAGCAGCTATATTATTCATAAGAGATCCTGTTGCATTTTTTACACTGGAGCTGAAAAAGTGCTATGTTTTTATTCTCCTTCCATTCATTTAGTAGCTTTCTTTTAATTGACCTATGACCTGTACTACATGTTTTCAACTTAAAAGCCACCCTTTATCCCTTTAGTTTTCAATTTATTTATAATTTACAAATAAATATTTTTAATATTATATTATCATATAATTTTAGTATCATCCTCTTATGCCCTAGTTTTAATATCCTTAAACCATTGGTTCCCATAAAATCATTGCCTTGATAAAAGCTTGTAATTTAATACTTTCTAATGATTTTATATTTCTCTTATTAAAAAATATAGGTTGAATTTTCTTTTAAATAAATAATTATTTCTATCTTTTCCTAAGTATTGGAACCAATTTATTGCACTTGCTTTATTTAGGTGGCTCCACATTTTGTGCCGTTGCTTCTCTAGTTTTGATGGATCGTCTTAATACAGCCCTTAAAGAAGCTCAACTGTCACAGCTTAAAAGGTGGTTACTGAGGCGGCAAGAAACAGGTTTTACTGGACGACCCAACAAACCTGCAGATACCTGCTATTCTTTTTGGGTGGGGGCAACTTTACAGGTAAAAATGCAATCTGGCTCTTTTTTTTAAATTTTGATTTTTCTCTTTTTTCTTCAATTAAATGATAAGTCTTTTTTTTTTCTGTGCCCTTTATATTTATTTATCTAATAAAATCACTACCTTTTATAAATATTTTTATCTCCAGATGTTGGGTGTATTAGATTTGTCAAATGTTACCTTCAATAGATCATTTGTATTGAGTACACAGTCTCCCATTACCGGTGGATTTTCCAAATATCCTGATCATAGTCCAGGTAATCTTTTATAACCTTTTGCATCAATGCAAACCAATAAATTATTATAGCGGAACACTTAATTTTTTTGCAAATTCATATGTAACAGCATGTTAAAATTTTCAATAAATCAGTCAAGAATTATTTTTATATTTTCTGGTTGCAATAGAAAAGTTATTGAAAAAAATTACGCTTTATTCACAGATCCATTACATACATATTTAGGATTATGTGGATTGTCACTAATTGGAGAGCCCGGTCTTAGTCCAATCTTTCCTGCCTTGAACATGTCACAGAGAGCTTATGATCACCTGAGCAACTTGCATAGGCAATGGCGAGAAGGACCAGATCACTGATTTAACTTAATTTGTCCTAATTTATTTTAAAATGTCCAAATAAACAGAAGATTATGGCACGCTCAATGTAACTGTATTTGACACAATGTTTGATCCATCTTATTTTTACCCAATCTTTCTATACATCTTCAAGCCTGACAATTCTGATTGCAAGCCTAAATATAAATATTAGTCTACTATAATTGAAAAGGGAGGAAATTGATTTTTATATGTGCTTTGATATATGTCATCAGAAAATACAAGTCTGATCTTCTCTTCAGTTCACATAATGATGTGCCTGCTGCTGAGTGTGAATTTTTTTTTTTAAATCTTAGAATGCTTGGATTTAAAACAATCCATTTATGAATATAATAGAATGTATTTGAATGTATGTGTTGTTTTATGGGTTAAACCCTATTTCAAATACGGTTATTTGATTTAACAAAGAGATGGAAAATAAATCCATATCATTACTGATAAATTTTTATTCCATACACATTTTTTAAATAGATTTATGTACTCAATTTCAAAGGAATCAATTTAATTAGTTTGTTCATTAAATAAGGGCTGAGCTTGAATAATGAAGAAAATTTAAATTTTTTTTTCATTGATTAATGAAAGTTATGTAATGTCAATAAAATGAGACAGAAATATTTCAACATCCTTGTGTGGGTCTCTAAAGGGGAAATCTGCAGTTACTGCCATTCAATTAAGTAGGAACAAAGCCAGAAAACCAACCTTGATGCCACAGGAAATGCCAGTGGTAACATAAAAGGAATAGGCCTATGTTTAACTGTTTTCCCCCCATCTTTTATTAAGTTTTCATGGCATTTTCTTAAAAACTTAAGCGCCTTGTTATTTTAATGAATTGCCTCTGATGTGTCCTTTACTTAAGAATATTTTAAGCTGTCATATTGTCCATTTTACTCTTAGGTAAAACTGGTCAGCTTCCATTAAAACTTGTGCAATATCCATTTAATTAAAATGTAGGATTTTACTAAACACTAATATATGTAAAAATGTAAGCTGTTTAATTAAAATAAATGCATCCCTTTAATTGTAAAGACTGTTGCATTGGGCTTACAAGAACATTAGCAAATGTCATAGGTTTTATTTCCCCAAGTAGTTAAGATGTACAACTGTACTTTAGCTTTAACCTTCTTAATGCTGATCATTGTATAATATTGTAATAATTTGCTTCCCTTATTTCTCTCATACTATTAACCCTGTCCTTGCTTTTAAAAGGGAGAGCAGAACTAATTGTAACTCATACAGTTTTATAATTAACTAGCCAACATGCCCGGCTTGGCCCGGGATTGCATTAGGACCCCATCCGGGTGGGACCCCGATCCCATTAGGCCCCCATTCCCATTTTGACACCGATCCCCGTGCCATCCAATTTCTCGGTTGGATCCCATTTTCTTGTGGCTCCAGATCCAGGTGGAATCCAGATCCAGATGGGATCCCGATTATGTTGGTATCTCGATCCCAGTGGGATACCGATCTCTGTGGGCTACCGATTACGTTAGAATACCATCCTCTGTTGGATCCCGTTCCACCTAGGGACCCCCTTTTCCGATGTTATCCCTATTGGATTGGATATTATTAGCTTTAAATCCACCGATATTTCAATACGGACAATGAAGGGTATTGCTACCAAGCTAGGCTAAGATCCATGAATTCACATAGAACCTAAAGTGTTGTTTAAGCCTATTAATATTTATATAGCTTATAAAAGGAAAAATGAAATGGGGCCCCTGGCCCCAGAGGGATGGATATTATGAGGTCAGTACCTTTCGGTATTTGAATATGGATAATCAAGTGTATGTGTACTAAGTTTGGTCAATCCATCTAGTCATGTAGGAGTATTTGTTAGTAATTTTATTTATATAGCTCATATAGGAAAAAATGACATTTTGGGACTGTGGCCCCTAACGGAATGTTATAAAAAGTTTATAACCTCTTAAGAGTTCCTTCCAGATAATGATGGATATATGTGCCATATTTGGTCAAGATCCATCAATCCATGTAAAAGCCTTTGTGGAGCAGACAGACAGACAGACCCACTAACAAATTTTTCACTTTATATATATATATATATATNTATATATATATATATATATATATATATATATATGAAGAGTTTTATTTGTAAGCTTTGGCACAAACAATTACAAACAATTACGTTCTTTTCTAAACCTATCAGTTGAAAAATTCCTTTGTATATTAATTATAAGTCATTAGTACTAGTTGATTTTTTTACAATTTAAATCACTTTTAATTAAGGATGATATGGAATATTTTTCAATTTAGGTGTGACAACTGAAATTCAGTTACGGTAAACTTAAACTATTTAGTATCTAACTAAAGAATAATATTTAATTTAACATTTTATCCTTGTAATCCTATTGTTCACACATTAGTTGTGCCAAAGCTTGCACTTGCCAAGCAGACAAGATGGTTTATAGTAATGAAGCAAGGCCCAATTGAAATACATGAACATTCCAATAGGGATTACTCATGCAAATTTATTTTACAATAGCAAAATACGTAAATGTAAGTTTAGCTATATTTATTGTGCCCTGTAATGATGAGAAGTGAAAAGTATCTAGAAAGTAAAATAGAAATACCATAATTTGTATGGTATCTTATGGAAGGGATGTTATGCCACCTCTTCCACAACCTGTGAAAAAACAATGTAGACTCAGGTTCATCATTTGTTTGGACTTGGGTATGCTTGTTTTTTATTTATTTTTCTATTTTCTATATTATGCACTATATAATATTAAGTTTAAAATAAAGCAAGCTTAAAAAATATAATAGTGAATTAATAGAACTTATCCTAAAACCATTGAGAGAGGCAGGCCATTTACATCTTGAAATAAAAATAATTAAATTGTTTACAATTTTTAAAGGTTACATAACACAATACAAATTATAGGAACTTAATGTCATTTATGATCAATCTATCTGATCAGTTTTAACATTTCTTATTCATTAAATTGGGTAGTCATGGGAGGGGGTTGTTCATCCCATGGCACTAAAAGTGTAAACCTATGGTGAAAATGAAATATCTATTTCTATACTACTCTTATCTAGTCCTGATCTGATTCATATTGGTTATGCTTTAAATTACTCTTGTCTCTTCTGATAGTAGTCAAAGACTTTCATTTAGATGAAATAAAATGTTTTTGGAGAGTTTGTTAGAAATATATTCCATCAATATTTTGATAGCTCCTCTTCAATTTCCTAGCATTTCATATAATTTTAATTACTGATAATTAAGGAATTTTATTTTATTTTATTTTAATGGAAATCAGTGTTGCATTAAAAAAAAAAGTTATATTTTTTGTTATCAAACTCAACTGCTCCATTGTTTTTAGACACTATACACTAAAATTGTTTTGCCTTGAATCATTTAACTAATTAATTAAACTTGAATAACAGACAATTGTTCTCTTTCAAATAGAAGTTTGTCCTCATTCTGCTTAATGTTTTCTGTTTTAGTATGTAGGAATTAGTATGCTGTAATTGAAATGACTGTTGACTGGTTCTATTTATAAAAGTTTGTTAGAAAACTTTGTTGTTGCTACCACTTCTTGTTTGCTGAAAATATGGATGTTCCTGAAGGCACACAACACTATTTAAAATTATATGGCCTGCTTTCATACCATCTTAGATACTTGTGTTTTTTTCTGTAGCTTAATATCAATGACACTATCCTAAACTTTATATGATTATCAAACTTGTCACATATAAAAGCAAGATGTGATTATTACAAACTGTAGATAATTGTAAAGAGTTATTGCAAAAAGCCTACTTATTCATTATTCTACATACCTCTTAGGAACTGCATAATGAAAAAAGTCTTTAAAATAGCAGTTAGATTTTAAATACACTTGATTTAAACTTAATGCCTAAAAATATTTAACATTGGACACATAACTTTGTGCTTAAACACGAACAGCTGCGTTGCTACATATCATGTTAAACTTTGAGCCTTGATGTCAGTTTTGATGCTTGCTATAAAATGCTATTTTGTGGGGCTTGCTGATTTTCTCTAAGTTTTGTTGTTTTAAAAAAAATGCTGTCAATCTTGACACATTGTGCCAAATTACAAACCCTTTATTTTGGATAATATCTTTAGACTAAGCAATCTTCATTCATTAATGCAATGAAACATTTTTTTTCTCCATTTTTTACAATATATTGTTGCTGGGAACCATAAATTTATCAACTCATTCATGCTCAGTCCTTTTTTTTTTTTTTTAAAGAATAAAATTGTCAATTTTATTAAATGTATCGTTAGCAGGATCAGGGCCCTGAAATATATAACTTCGAACAAAATTAAAATTAACCTGTTGCCTATCTGCCACAAAATGGAAAACTCACATGTCAGACCTTTCGTTAAAAAAAAAAAAAATGTTTTACAAAATTCCTAGGATTTAAAATACACTTTATAAACTTCCAAAGCATAGAAATAAATCAACAAAAATAAAGATACTTAATGGAGATAAAGGAATGGTTTCATACAAGCTATGATTTTTGCAATGTGATAATTTCATATTTATTGGAATAAAAATGAAATTGGAATATTTTTTTTATCGTTCTATGATTTTCTTTTCTAGAAATAAAATTTTCATTACCGAGTCACTGATCAGTCATTGATCGTCTCAATAAATTAAATAAAATTAAAATTCATTGTAATAGCATAATTAAAAATAACATCACCTGTAGTTAATTAGTTTTGAGTCTCATTTTGTTCAATATTAATTTTGTTTTTCCCTTCTTGCAATCTTATATTATTATGTACACACAGCTTTAAAAGATATCAATTACAGATTTCATTTTGGTCTCTTTTTTTTTGTTATCAATTTCAACATTTTTACATAAACCATGCAAAAAAAAATAATATTTCAGATTCTAATAAATTGCATGCAAGTCACATTCAAACATGGAAAATTGTTATATTTTAACACTCAATGGAAAGAATGAAGTTTTTTTTAAATATTGGATTTAATTATCACTTTGTATAAATTCAGTCAGACAATTGTGATAAAGTAAAGGAGTATAAATTAACTCATTTTTTCTAACTTTTTTCTTTTAATAACAATTTCAAAATCAATACTTTTCAAAGCAACAACATAGAAAGGTCAATGATACTGACTAGCAGTTACATAATGAATCAACAAAATCAACATTTTAAAAATAAATGTGATTACAAATTAAAATTTGAAGAAAAAAATATGATTTCTTGACCTTGTTCTCAGACCTTATTTGTTTTTTTTTAAGAGTTTTTCTGTGGGATTTTCACAACCACCTGCAAAAAAATGTGAACTATTATAATGCAATTTTACAAAAAAATAAGACTTGTACTATATTTCTTAGCTATTTTAGATTTAAAAAATAACTAATTTCACCAAAAATACTCATTTTACCAAACTTTTCTCACATTTACAAAAATTATGAATCTTTGCAAAATTAATCATGGTTACTTCATAGCAAATTGAATTGTGAAATTGTCTGAGTAAAATTGAAGAGGTTTTATTATAAAATGTTGCAAAACTTCACAGTTCCTCACCCACAATGAATATTTAAAACCAAAAGAATTAAGAGGGGAGGAGGGAAGGCTGAGTGTATCACAATACTTACATTCTTTACTTCAATGTAGTTTTGCAGACCATATTCACCTCTGTTGATGAAAACATATAAATTTATAAGATATTTTCCATTGGATAAAATTAAATTTGAAAAGTTAGTCAAATATTTGTGCAGATTCAATGTTGGTATGACAACAGCATTAAACTTCTGGTGGTAATGCAAATAAATTTAATATAACCAATAAATACTATTAGCTTTATTACAACAAAGGTAAAATATCTGCTTAGTACTGGCAATAAAAATGAGTAAAGATGAGCTTTTGTACAGAAGTCTAAATTTATCATAATCTATTATATACTTATATTTATAAAAGTTTACTTACAGCTCCCTTCCCAAACCAGACTTCTTGAAGCCACCAAATGGTGCTTGTGGACTGACATGGTTGTAACTGTTGATCCTAATGAGACAAAAGAAATGAGAAAATCAAAGTAAGATACAGGGCTCATTTTCAAAACAGAACTTCACATAACCAATAATTGTAGCATGCTTTACAAAAAAAAAATACTTGCAGCAAACCATTAAATAAATATCTCATGGGTGAATACATCTTTGCACATAAGCACTTACCAAACGGTTCCAGCTTGCACACCATGAGCAAATGTTAAGGCCTTATTGATGTCATTAGTGAATACAGCAGCACCCAGGCCATATGTGGTGTTGTTGGCTCGTTTCAGAACATCATCAAGGTCTTTGAATTTCAAAATCTGTTGCACTGGTCCAAAAATCTGAATTTACATATAGTAATTTCAAACTTTAGTCTTTAAATAAATCTTTTAAAAATTACCTTCAATCAAATAAAACAAATAATCAAGATTAACTCTTAAACCAGGAAAACTTTAATATTCCATTACTGAATTGATATAACAGGCAAACAACAAAATATATATTATGGTTATATTTTAGAGATTAATATGTTGTTTTTTTTAAATTTTTTTTTAAAGTGAACACAAAATTTAACTTATTGACATAGTGTAGCATTTTTTAATTCCACATTTTTACTCACACAGTGAGAAAACTAATGTTTAAAAATTAATCCAATAGATATTAACTGATTAACTACCAGATTGAAAAACCCGCTGTGTGCCGAATTAAATCTAGGTCACATTTAATACGATACAATCATTGGCGCTACCAGCGGCTCATGGCTATAACGGAAGAAACGCCGAGCCGCTCCCACTGGCTCATGGTAGTTAAGCGGTTAAACATTTTTGCAAAAGTTGAGAATTTCCAATGAATTATCAACAAAAAAACTTTACAACCAGTAATACTTTTTTCCAACTTGCACAAGATTTAACAAATGTAATTTGAATAAATTTAGCAACCAAATAGATTTTTTTTAATTTAAATATAAATATTTAGATGAAAACAGATTCAGATTTGTTTAATGCTAACAAGACACCTACTATTTGGAAACTCAGTAATAACATATATAAGGGTGTCAATAAGATATAAATATTTTTAAAATTACCTCCTCTTTAGCAATCCTCATATCATCAGTCACATTAGAGAAGACAGTGGGTGTGATAAAAAATCCTTGGTCACCATGTCTTTCACCTCCATGTTCTACTTTAGCTCCTTCTTTTTTTCCACTCTCAATCAACTCCAAGATTTTATTTAATTGCTCCTGGTCAATCTATTATAATGATGATGAAAATTAATCACAGATAATCATTAACAGTAAATTCCAAACAATTATCTTTATTAAAATTTAATACTAATACTAAATTTATACTGGGCATTTTATAACATTGCATTTTTTTTAGAAACAAACCTGTGGTCCATTTACTGTGTTGGAGTCGAAAGGATCACCAATTTTTCTAGTCTTGGCCAGTTCTCTGGTTTTTGAAACAAATTCATCATAAATATTTTCATGAACATAGGTCCTTGTTCCTGCGACACAGCACTGGCCCATATTAGTCATGCAAGCCTCTTGAGCTTCAGCTACAGCCCAATCAACTGTTTTAAAAATAGTTGTTTGTTAGATTCAAACAAAAGGAAATTTGAATGATCCACACAAGTAATATGATTTTAACATTTTAAAAGAAAGTAATTTAAATCAATCTTCAAATCAAGAATCTGAACTTACCATCCACATCATCAAAGACCACACATGGGCTTTTTCCTCCAAGCTCAAGAGTTGTTCTTTTGATGTTGGAAGCACCTGCTGCTTGCAATATGATCTGGCCAATCTGGAAAAATATAGAAATACATAAACTAAGGACAATAATCATATTAGTTATTCTTGGTTAACAAAACAAAAAAAAAGTGTCTGTATTTGAAACTATGATTTATTATAATGGCCATTCAACTTTATTACTTCTTTGTTAAGAAGATATTAAATGGAGGAAGCATTTCCAACTGTTTAAAAACACTATTTCTTCAATAAACAGTTGAAATTTTCCCCTCTTGAATGAAATTTTGATTATTGTGCCTCCTGCAAGATATTCTGGCAAATTAATACCAGTGCATGTCCACTAGATACCTCAGTAGATCCTGTAAAAGCCACCTTGTTGATATCAGGGTGGCTGGTGATTGCTGCCCCTGCAGTTGGGCCGTAACCTGGTACAACATTAACAACACCAGCTGGGAAGCCAGCCTGTAAAATATTAAGAAACATTTTAAAAGAGAAATAATTCTTATACAAGTGTATGGAGTAGTTAAATTTGGTTACGTTTTGTGTCCGACATTTAACATCATATTATTTGAATAGCCCTGTTTTTAAGAATAGTAGCATTTAAAGTAAACCACTGATTGCAGGTTTTTGTCTCAGGGTTTGGAACAAGAGAATGTCAAAAATATGGAAAAATATTTTAAGTGCCAAAAGAAAGCCACCAATAACTTCAAAACTCCCACTAGCTTTGAGCTTGATATAAATGGAAAAATAAATAGAAGGAGAATCAATATTGCAAACATGTAACACTTATTTAAAATTCTAATGACTTATTTAGCTTATGGACATGGAAAGAGATATATTTTTTAATCCAACTACCTCAAAAGATACTGTCTGAATAAATCACATTTATTTTTCATTCATTAAATAGATTATTCATAAACCTCTAATTAGATAAAAATGTTCCATTGGAAGCATTAAGTTCTGTATTTTCTTATAAATGCAACAAAACTAAAGATTTATGCAAACATTTAAAATCTCTCACACAATTTGTCACCAATCTGTTCAGTTTCAAAAGCCAATATATCTGCATTAAAAGCGCCTTTACAATTTAATAAAAATCAACTTTTGGCATTGACTATTTTTCTACATGAAAAAGCAATAAAAATTTCTCACCTCTTTAACTAAGGCAGCAAGATACAGAGCTGTCAGGGGAGTCTGTTCTGCTGGTTTAAGAACAACAACATTCCCTGCTGCCACTGCCGGTGCAATCTTCCAAGCAGCCATAACAAGAGGATAGTTCCACTAATGATGTGAAATAAAGAGATACAATAGAGACTAAAATTCTCAAAAATAGTTTATCTACAACTTAAAAACAATATTTAATTATAAATAAATTTAAAAGAATATTGGTTTCTAAGACAAAACATTACTTTTAAAATAAAAGAAAAGGTATTTAAACGTACTGGTGTGATTTGTCCGCAAATACCAACTGGCTCATGGCGAGTGTATGCAAAGTAGCTTCCATCTAGTAAATGAATAAAACTTCAAATGAAAAATGTTTCTTTTTATTATTAAAAATACAGAAATCATAATTTCTGTAACATCAGCTCAATAAGCTTTGTTTTAATTTTAATCCACTTTTTAATCCACTCTTTAATCCACAATTTTGTTAGATTTAGTTATGTAGGAGTTTTCAAGTCATTTTAAAAATGTGTGATCAGTTCCTGAGATTTAAATTTATGTTTAAGCTCATTATTTTATAAAGATCAATAAATTTGATGAATAAAAACAAGTCTTTTTAAGTAACTTTATTTCAAAGGGAAACTCATTAAAAATTATTTCCAACTCCGTAGTGTCAGAGTCTGACAATTACTAAATTTGAACAATAATTACACTCACCTATAGGAATGGTCTTCCCACATATCTTATCAGCCCATCCTGCATAGTACCTGAACACCAAAGCTGAGAAATATGCATCACCAATGGATCCATGCAATGCAAAGGCTTTGCCATTGTCTAATGTTTCAAGACTCTTTAAAATATAGAATAAAATAATTAAAAGAATAGTAATGCAAGAAAATAATTTTACATTTTTTTTATGTTATAAGATATATGATTTCAAAATACTTACAGCAATATAGTTGATATCTCTCTCAATGAGATCAGCAACCTTGTACAACAATCGACCTCTTGCGCTAGCATCCATTGTCCTGTAAGGGGAACCCAAAGCAAAGGCATCTTTAGCTGCTTTAACTGCCTTATCTATATCTTCCTGCAGAAAGACATACCAAACTAAAAATGACATATAAAATAAAGAATTATAGAGCAAATCATATTTTAAATATGATTTTTAAAACATATACACTTTTTAAACTAATTTTTACTTTTCTCTGTTATGTTCAAATGTTTACATTTTTTAGTACTGATCTTACTGAGCTTTCTTTAAAAAGAAGACATCTGGCGGAGATGTTTCAAAATGGTTTCCAAAAATATTTAAAAGTGCTGACACACAATCTGCACAATTTTTTTCAAGAGAATTAACCATTTTAAAAGACAGTGAACAATAGTTTTAAAGCTTTAACAGTGTCAAAATCAAAGTTAAGAATTAATTGTGATTTTAATTTTTAGTTAAATTTTGAAAAGCATTCATAGTGATTTTAATTTTTCAATTTAATATTGATAAACAATTAGTTAGACCATCAGAAAAGATAACTGATTAAAAAACAAATAAAAATTAACTAAAACCTTTTCAACTTATCATTTTTTGTGAACAGGTTTTCTGGCTTTATACAGGGTTTCAAACTCAAGGTTAGCATGTACGCCATTTTTAATTTTTGTATTAAAAGATTCATTTGAATGAGGTAAGATTTTAGACATTTTAGATAATGTTACATAACCTACAGGAAAAAGGCTTGTTACCTTATCAGCTTCCTGAATGTCAGCAATCTTTTGACCTGTTGCTGGGTTAAGTGTAGGAAAAGTCTTTCCACTAACTGAATTCACAAATTCATTGTTAATGAACAACTGAAAATAAAGTTTGAAAATTTTTAGTTTTAGATTGGATTACAATGGTGTAAAATAAGTAAAACCCATGGAACAAATTAAATACAAAGAAGACTGCTTGGAGATAAGTTTTAAATCTTTGTAAATTATCCAAAACGACTGAAACAAATAATCACTGCTAAAGAAATTGTAGTTTAGCAACAAGGACAATAACAGTTTATACAGTTTACATTGGTTTACTGGTTCACACTGACCCAACTTAATGAAACACCACTTTATAAGGTTTCACATGTCATATATAAATTACGGCATCTTTCTAACACCATCTTTCAATATTCATTTATTACATTTGATCATAATGATAGTGGAAAAGCAACATTTCCACACACATTTTTTAAATTAAAAAAGCATAGCTGGGATTAGTAATTACTGCCCTGAAAGCCTAAGATTTTATTCTAAAGTGAATCTTTAAGAAAGTGATCTAAACATCCAACTACATTAATTTAAAAAATTAAATTCTACCAATGACACATTAACTATTTTTATACTGTACAAAGCTAATTTAAACTTAAAGGGGGAAATTAATTTTGATGCTTTTAAAGAATTAAAATTAATGACAGTTGTATACAGGTGTCCTTCACTTTGGAAGGGAAGGCATGAAATTAATTTGAAGATTAAAAACTAATAAATCAACACACTCAATTTTATACTGTTTAATTCTTACTTGGTTGAAGGGTAAGTTAAAAATACTAAGTCAACCTTGACATGCTTTTAAATCATGTAATCATATATCTTTTCTGGACATTTTTAAGTTTAAGAGCAGGAGCAATAATTATAACGAATTCTTATTCAGTCAGACGTTCATGTCTATAATTATTTTATGGACCAAACAAGCACTTCAACTTAAAGACTATTGTTTAATTTAATAAAGAAATATGAATCAAATTTCTAATTTAAAATAGTTATGAAAATTATTGTTGAAATCTACTTATTTTATATAATAGATCACTAATTTAACATCTTCTCCAACTGAGTAAACATTTTTTAGAAGGTCATTCAAGGTTATCAGTCTAGATTAGTTATTTTTTCACAAGTACCGTAGCCAAACCTTGTAAATAGACCAAAGAATAGTGCTTGGTAATGATGGCTGAATTTTCTAGAAGGTATACTTTTAATAGGTGAAGACCTCAACTTTCATATTTTAATCTAAAATAATCATCCTACAATACAAAGATCATTTTCTGATTGTACTGTACATTTATTTATTGATAAAGCAAAACAAAGTTTTATGACATTATATTTTTCACCTCCCTACTTTAACCCTACAAGATATTTAATATATTTATTTAAATGTAACTTTTTATTCTTTGCAGCTGTTCATGACTCTGCAGAGTTTAAATATTTAAATAATTGACTGATGTGGGTTGGCGTCTGATCAATTTGATGAGTCACAAAAAGTGAATTTAAAAGTTGGAACAGCAGATTTAATTGCAGTGCATGTATAACTAAATACGATAATTCCTATGTTTCCAGATGCAGTCTGTCACTATGGCAGAGCTGCGGCTGAGCTAGGATAGTTCCTATCTTCTGTTTGGCCAAAAATCGGTTTTGACTCCAAAAAACATGGTTCTTGACAGGTTCTTGAAAGAAATTCAGCTCTCAGGAAAATTTAATCGTCTTGCTGCTGATTTTTGGCTCTTTTGACTAATGAGTCTGCTGACCTCTGGACCAAGATGTTAGTCCGGACGGTAATAACATTAGCTACACCAATGCTCAATATTGAATTTAGTGGAGAAAAGCAGTGCTATCTTAAGGCATAGGCACACTGCACACTTGCCCAGGGTCTCATGCCTCAAAGTGGCCTCATTGCTCTAAGTGGCCTGACGCCTCTAGAGGACATCACACTTCTAGAGGACATCACACTTCTAGGGGGCATCACGCCTCTAGGGAACCGTATGCATCTAGGGCACCTCATGCTTCTAGGGCATTATGCTGCCAATTTTATTAGTGAATTGTGAAATATTTTATGCCATTTATTTGCTTTTAAAGCATTTTTCTGACCAAATTATAGGGTCACTTCATTTCTGATACATCAACATATAACTTATTAATAAAGCATGCATTAGGATTGGTTACATGCGTGGAAAATTTCTGTGTGATTGGTTATCCATTTATGAAAATCAGTTGGACAGAGCAGTGTGCTCTGTAAATATGCAATTTTTAAATTGGGTGCCATCTCCTGAGATGGTGACATCCGGTGCAGTCTGCACCCCCCTAGCTAAGGCACCTGCGTCTAGGCCTTTAGATTAATTTTTGTAGATTAATTTTTGTAGATTAATTTATATTGAAACATAATTGTTCGTAATAGGACTTTCACAATAAAGGTTACATGATACCTTTACCACAGTTAGAAGTTGACTTTCATATGTGTGCTAGGCTTAATGTTATTATACATTTTTGAAAAAAAAAACTAACTCTATAGAATTTTTACTGTGCATGTCATCTAAATAATTAGACAAATCATTATCTAATTATTAACACATTGAATTTAATAATATATAGGAAAAAAGAAATGTTATAAATTAATACAACTTTCTTGATACACTTCTATCTCCTTTATAGGGCAATTCAACTTCTGTTAAACATATTTGAATTTAATAACTTGGTTTCATATAAAGACTCATTAATAACTTATTATATAATAAGTAATTTATAATTTTTTTAATGGAATGCAAATTATTTGATAACTTGAATATAATTACATTTGTAAGCACGATTCTAAAACAGTATAAGTCAAATGAATATATTACTAAATTATTAGTTCTTGCTAAGACGTGAGTAAACATAGATATCTGTAAGGTTTTTAAATTTACAAAGTCTTTTTTATAGTTATGTCGTGCCTGGCCATGTACAAAATTTTTGAAAAGCAAAGATAGGCAGTGACAGCAACCTTAAAGCAAATGAACTCACAGACAATGTCTACAATCTACATAGGGTCAGAACAAAGTCAAATTCCGCTGTTAACACACAAAATCATTGCCCTTTTCACAAAATTAGCAAATTTGTACACAATGGTACATATTTAATTACCAGTGGTATCTTTCTTTTTTAATAAAATTACAAAGTTTTAAACTCATGAGTGGGCTGCACAAATAGACTTCCAAAAACCTTTGTTAACCCACCATTGATCTAGCTCAGATTTAATAATCTGCTAAAAAATTAATACAATTTCACTTAAAAAAGATATTTACAAAATTTAATTAGCTATGAATTACTATAGATCTATCAATGGACAAAAATGTCAGCATCTGGATTTTCATATTAGCTTCGGTAACATCATTTTAATTTTTTTTTAATATCAACTTTCAGTACTAAATGGACATTTCAGGGAAAACAAAAACTGCAGAATATCTTTTAAAACCTGTTGCAGAGCAATGAAAAGGATCTGTGGAATGAAAACCTGACCCTACAGACAGTTCCCAAAAAAATAAGAAAATTTGGAAATTATGTTCAGCAGGCAGGTGGGGTTTGGGGGAGGAGTAAATCAAAGAGTCTTACAAAAGGCACCAAACATTCATTATTTGCTAATTAAATGAAGAAACTGATAAATGGACTCTGTTTAACCATTTGGAATGTCCTCTAACTTTTACTGCGTCCAATTTAAAATTTAACTAGACAAATTTTACATAATTGGTAAATCAAGAACCCACAAAATTTTGAATGATTGCTATATACTGTGGCGCCTCCAGTAATTAATAACTTAACAAGACCACCAAGTTTTGGTTTTGCGCCCCCCTCCCCACCCCCCAACAAAAATAAAATCTGAAATGACGCCCTTAGAAATCCCAAATACAAGCTACACCTATACATATTCACATTTATCATTAAAGTAGGCAGCAAAGATAGCAAACCTGGGTATACTTGATTTCAGGGTTTTTGTTTGGCGTAAAGTTAGACATGGCTAATTTCTGATGGACCTATGTACCTAAAAGTAAAGAAAAGAAAACAGTTATTTTTTTAATTCATTTATTAGTTCTATCCTTAGAAATCTGAAAACTATATGTAGGTAGAATTTAAAGTAAAGTCAAAGTCACTGAGTATATAATATTTATATTTGTCAGTGGCCATATAGCATAGAGATATACTGCCCAATTGCTTGATGAATCCTTTTTTTCACTTGTTCATTAGAGATATGGTCTCTATAGCAGATTCCAAGAATGCTTCTGAAACATCTCATCTCCTCTAATAGACAAGTGAAAGAAAGGATCCGTCAAGCAATTGGGCAGCATGATGACCTCCTGGTGACTGTAAAAAAAGCGCAAACTGGAACGGTATGGCCATGTAACAAGAAAACAAGGGCTCGCCAAAGAAATCATGCAGGGCACAACGAGAGGAGTTAGAAGAAGAGGAAGATAGAGAAAAAGATGGGAAGATAACATCAAAGAGTGGACGGGACTAAAACTAGGCGATGCTGTGCGAAGTGCAGAAAAAAGAGAGGAATGGAGAAGGATAGTTTTCATGTCATCAGTGGCGCCCCAAAGTTCCAAGGACTAAGGGACATGATGATGATGATATAGCATAGAAGTGTGACAGTGGGCATTCGTCATAGTTTGTAATTATTGACTATCTTCTGCTCCCTGTGGCCACGGCACACCCATAGACTCACCAGAGGCAGGGCAATTTGGAATCATTCACATCAGCTAGCATCATCTCTAGTTCATCTACTGCTAATTAGGCCTAATTAGATACTTTTTTCAATCTCCTCAAGCCTCAAGTTTCAAGTACTAACTAGGTACTTTTTTCAAATTCAAAGTTAAATTACTTAAATGGATGAAACAATAGAATTAGTATTAGGAGCTTCTCCCACACACTCCTAGACCTTAAATGGTTAAAATAACTAAATAAGAGAATTATGACAATTATGTTCCCTTATGTTGATTTGGAATGTTTATAATTATTATATTTAGCATTGATTGACACTGAAGAAGTGAAGGGATGGATTATTTTAATTATTTATTTGGAAGCAAAAAAGACACATACTTTCTTTACTCACTAAAACTAAAACTACAATTTACATATAATAATATTATATAATATTATATAATATTATTAATATGATATAATATAATATAACTTATAACATTCTACTGCTACAGAAGTCATCTACAAATCGGTACTGGTGTAGCGTTGACCTAGAATTATAATTATACTATTATACTTTATACACATTGAATAACTTAAAAATAAAATATTCATTCCGAAAATGTCATTCCCTAAAACTAAAAACTTACTATCCTCCTCCTATGTCCTATACTTTTACACTATTATATACTTCGTGAATCCAGTTAGAAGTAATATTGAATTAATGATAAGGACAATGAAACAAAAGGTTATGATTATAAACGAAATTTTAAAATTCACAACATATACCTCCACAAATCACAGCAGGCGAGCAGCTTTGCGTACCGTCCTGCAGAGCAGAAATGTACAGTTAGTGATAGCCGGGTCTGCTATCGTGGATTTTTCCGGTCAAAGGTTAGAATTAGAATAAGGGTTGTTAGGTCAGGTCAAGGTAAGGTTTTTGATTTGTGGGGGTTTTGTTGTTGTTTTTTTTAAATTGCTGTTTTTTTTTTTTTTTTTTTTTTTTTTTTTTTTTTATTTTTTTTTTTTTTCTTTTTTTCTTTTAATATACTATAGTCTAGACCTACTATACAAAATAAATTACCATTGATAATACAGTTACATGGCAAGGACTTAACATGAGATTGAGATAATATTGTATCCTAATTTTTTTAGATACGAAGGTTGACGAGGCTTTTTTTTTTTTACTGAGAAAGAATCACAATAATTAATAAACATTTCTAATTTCTATAATCATGAAAATTATTGTTACTGGATCGGCATCATCAATCCATTCTTTCCCCTTCAACTTTAAAAAAAAATCAGGGAAACAACTTTTTACATGCCACTGTCAACAATTGCTGTGCTCGTTGTATCCCTTGAAATTGCAACGTAGAAACTTAAAATTAAACAGATCGAGGACAATAAATAAGGTGTGCCATCGAAACACCATTCGCCCCAGTGATATCTTACCATGATATGTTTGTTCTGTATACATATTTGCATGCACATTTGTGTGCGTGTGTCATTCAGTGAGCCCCTCCCCAGAAATACTTGGATAAATTCAAAAGCTGGGATGCGTATATATTATATTATCGTTAAAATTATCGGATATATTATAGGAATTTAGTTTTCCTTTTTTTTCCCCATCATTCTATACTTAAATCGGAGAGCATCGTATGACATGTTAGTTCAACTAGTAGTTGAAATTGTGTCCTCTTGGTAAGCATTACTCAGCTTCTCACTATACCAGAGTTTGGCCTATCTAGTATTCCAGTCAGGCCCATCTAGTTTTCTTTATTATTGTTGATCCGGCCTAACTGGCTTGTCGCCGTTTTGTTCCACTTTTTACTACTCTTCGCAATTCAAGCTTTTGCCTATATTTAATTTAGAACTGATGCCGGGCGCTTGAATGAGACGGAGGCGCCTGACCGGGGGAGGTATGATGAATGTTGTTTTGTAAACAAGTTCACTCTCTGATCTCAGTTTCATGCACCTCTCACCAGGGTGAGTGACCGGGGTCAAGGCGTGTGTTGTGCACACGTGTGCTCTGTGACGTGCGAAGCAATTCTGAGAATGAAGAATGAGAGCGCCGAAGATCGTCCAATTAAAACACTCCGCACTTTTATTTCATGGTCATATTACCGATATCGAGTTCCGACACAGTGACCACAATTACCAGACCAGAAGCAATGCGCAACTACCAGCCTCCGGAAGGTTGACATCGAACGTAGACGTAGTGTATTCAAACCCGAATGGACTGAAAAATCATTATTCGCCCAACGCGAAAACAGAGCCTTGTGTTTAGTGTAAAACGATGCCTATAGCACTTTCAATCGGTCGAATCTCAAGGGGCACTTCGATGCCTAGTACGTGCTCGAGTATAGACACTACACCTTGGTTCAGCGGAAGACTGAGGCTGCTCGCATTCGGTCATGGTTGGATCAAATGTCGTCCCTCTTGAAGAAGCAGACCTCCCAAGCTTCTGAGACTGCCTAGCGTCGCTGTCTGCCCGCACTGTAACTCGACGCATGGAGGGTCTGGCCTCTGATGTCCGGTCTTCGATGTGCAAAATATAGGCCTACAGACAGTCCTACACCCTACCTGCTGGCCTTTAAATAACAGGCCTACAGACAGTCCTACAGATAGCCCTTCAGACAATCTTACAGAAGTCTTACACCAGACCCGTGGCTCCTTATCGATTAATATAATAGCTGCCTTGTTACCTGAGTTCAACCGTCACGCACGACGCTTGCTGCTTGACAGTCCCCCCCCCCCCCCCAAAACTCAGTACTATTAAAATAAAACATTTTGAAAAGGGGGGGGGGTGAAAAGGAAGCAGCCATACCAGAAGCAAAATATATATACGAGATGAGGATAACAATATTGCAAAGTTCTTTTGAACCGAAAGCTATACGGAGAAACGTTTAAAAAGTGTCCCATTATATTCAGTGCACTAGGTCAGGGGTCGGCAACTGGGAAATTTTATAAATTGTAACTTTTGGCTCTTCCGTCTCAAAAGGTTGCCGACCCCTGCACTAGGTCAAAAACAGTTTGGTGTGCTCGTATGTTGTATCGGTTATTAAAAACATAAAATATTTGAGGTTGGTTTGGGGACATGACGAGAAAAACTATCACACTGTTTTGTTTCATTGCACGCAAAAAAATATATTCTTATAGCGATATTCATTGTACACGTTCTTGAAACGTTCAAGGTGACATTGATGGCCTTAACGTTTTTAATGGACTGTAACAGGTGTAATACTTCAATTTGTGAGTGGTGTCATATTTTAATTTGTGAGTGGTGTAAAGCTTGGTAGTAATACTTCAATTGTGTGTGGTGTAATATTTCAATGTGTACGTGGAGTAATATTTCAATTTGTAAGTGGAGTAATATCTCATTTGTGCGTGGTGTAATAGTGTAATATTTCAATTTGTAAGTGGAGTAATATCTCATTTGTGCGTGGCGTAATACAGTAATGTTTAGGTCCGCCTATGACCTGTGATGCACCCTACTTGCCCTGCCTCGGGTTGATCCTGTAGTATAGGCCAAAACGTGCCAAAGTGTACTCGTTTTATAGCCATTTTAATTGTTTCTATAGTATAGTAGTTACTAAGTTACTATCCTAGTGTCTCTGGTTTTTCATTTTAATTTTACTTAGTTTACATGTTTTTAATAATTGTAAAGCGCTTAGAGCTTTAAGGTAAGCGATATATAAAAATGCCTAAATAAATAAATTTATGGGTGGTATAATACCCCATTTTGGCATGGGGACACCTATAAAAAAAAAATACAATTTTCCTTATTTTAAGAAGGCCATTCACCTTTAAAAGAATTTAAAGAAGCTGAAATGAACAATTAAATTAATTTTTATAAACAATAAATACGAAAATTAATGATCATCCTGGAATATCATCAAAATTTCATTTGGCGATTTGGTTGAAATGTAACGGATTTTATTTTAAAATTGCTTGATATTGTGTTTTGTTGCACCTTATATATTATGTGAACCATTTCTACTGATTTAATGGAGATCCAGCAAGCACCTAGCTTTGAAATTGTTGGACCTATCAGAAATGATTGTATCGGGCCCCTAGATCATATCAAAATGTTTTATTTAATCTATATGCAAGGTATTTTTCATTTTTAATAGGAAAATATTTTGTGAAAATTGAAGGAATAATATTGGAGATATTTTAAAAAGAGACGTTGGCTAATGTTTGACGCTAACCAAGACATAAAAAAACACTCTTAACTCTGTTATACGATTATATGAAATTGGATCTTTGCATTATACACACAGATTCAATCTAGATCTACCATAAAGCACTATGCTAGAAAAACTCACAGCTACCGAGAGAAAAATTAAACAAGACACTAATTACATGAAATGACATCTACAGGATGTAGTGACATTTTAAAATTCTAGTATTACCAACATATATTTGATATCAAATATGTAAAACAACTTAACACGCACACACACACAAACTGAATTAGTTTCTTTAAAAGTTGCAGAAAATAATTTCTAGATATAAATGTCACAGATCTATGTATGGCCCTCGATGTATTTGGGAAAAGAGTAATGAGCTATGAAAGGCAGTTAAACTATTCGATCTCTGGTGTTAACACTCACGAGTAACTTGTGGGGTGAGTCACTGAAAGCAATTTGGTCTTTAATTTTTATGTTGGCTTGCTGAAGATAGCTTGGAAAGTGCTCAGTGAATTTAAATAAATGTAAGTACTGATAACACTTGTCATTTTATGAAGTAGTATAAGAACTGATCTGTTTCATTTTTTTTTTTTTTTTTAGATTTCTGTGTAATGACATGATAAGAATCAAAAATAGATTTCTTAAATATTGTAGACCTATTTTTGTTTTGTTCCCCTGAAGCCACAAGAATTTTCAAATTTATTCACCGCGCGAAAACACCGAGTATTCACAGTGTGCCTCAATTTCTTTTCACATATCTGATTACCACACCAAGATCATGACAATGTACATACAAATAGTTTTCTTTCTTACTTAGATGTGTAATTAATGGAAATGCTTACCACATACAGTTCTTGAAAAGGTGTATACTTCATTTTTTTTAAAATTTCCCGTGAAATCGGTATTATTTTTTTTTTTTCAAAATCACTTTTAATTCATAAGCATTTGGAGTTTGGAGAATTGAAATTCGGGGCACAGCTCAGTATGGTAAATGGAGACATTAAAAAAATCTTTCAGTGTTTGACGGATACTGGGTTCAACATTTCTGGAATCTTTATGTAGTTTGCCCATAATATTTTAGATTTATATATCAAACTTTGAAATATTTTAATCTATAGAAGCAACTTTATTACTTCAATTATTAATCTAGATTATTATTTATTTTTTTTTAAGAAAAAAAAAGTCAATTTATTAGTGATATTATCGAAGTTTTTTCAATGAATAAACTCACTTGTTTTACTTTTACTTGTTGTTCCTTTAATGAACATTTAGAAGTATATTTGTTGTTTTTTCCTTGAAAATGACTGAGAAGTCCCAATAGCCTACATTAATAAAGTGATTCACATTGTTTGGTTGTTAATTGTGTTTTGTTGAAACTGGAGCTCATGAAGACAGCTGTAAATTTTAATAGTTATTTTTTGTGTTCCATCCTTATTACAATAATTAATAACATAAAATTTTTATTATTTTTTTTGTTTGTTCGTTTTTATTTCTTAATGTTGTTGTTTTGTGTTCTTCAAAGATTTGTTGATAAATTGATTCCATTTTTATTGATCAAAAACAAACTAAAGATTAGCAACTACGCACGGATTAATTACACCT